ATCTGCCACTTGTACACTGTCTTAGCCTGTCCATGTCCTTCTGCAGCCTGTCCCTCCATCTATTTTTGTCATTTGCAAACTTAGCAACAACGCCTCCGTTCCTTTGTCCTGATCATTAATGTATAACGTGAGTAGTTGTGGTCTTGCCACGGACCCCTGTGGCACTCCACTAGTTACTGGCTGTCATCTCGAAAAAGACCCTTTATCCCTACTACTCTGTCCTTTGGCAGTGAGTTAATCCTTTATCTGTGCCAGTACCCTGCCCCTAATAACATGGACTGTATCTTATTTTGCAGTCTCCTGTGTGGTACCTTGTCAAAGGCCTTCTGGAAATATATTTATATCCCATCTACTGGTTAGTCTTTTTGTTTAACTTGCTCATTACCACCCCAAAGAGTTCTAACAGATTTGGCAGACATAACCTCCCCTTGAAAAAGCCTTTCTGTCTCAATCCTTGCCATGCACTTTCAAGTATTCCACAATCTCAGGCTTAATAAGTGACTCTAAAATCTTACCAATGCCTGAGGTCAGGCTAACCAGCTTACAGTTTCCTGTCTACTGACTGCCTCCATCCTTAAACAGGGGTGTTACATTAGCCATTTTCCAGTCCTCTTGGACCCTCCCTGACTCCAGTGATTCCTGAAAGATCGCCAGCTATCTCCTTCAGAAGTCTTCGGTGTAGCCCATACTGTCCGGATGATTTATCCAACTTCCCCAGTGCCTTCTCTTTGTTGATGGCCACTACACTCACCTCTGCCCTCCTGACTCTCGAATTCAGGTGTGCTGCTGGTGTCTTCCACAGTGAAAACTGATACAAAGTACCAATTCAGTTCCTCTGCCATTTCTTTGTTCCCCTTTTACTACTTATGCAGCCTTGTTTTCTCGCAGCCTAATGTTGACTGCTGCCTCCCTCTTACCTTTCAGATATGTAAAAATACGCTTGCAATCATCTTTTGTAATATTAGCCAACTTATTCTCATTTCATTTTGTTCCCCCTTATTGCTTCATTTTTAGTAATCCTCTGGTTTTTAAAAGCTTCCCAATCATTTTCACCACATTGTATGCTTTTATGCTGTCCCTTACTTCCCTTGTCAGCTACAGATAACAAGGTGTGGAGCTGGATGAACACAACAGGCCAGGCAGCATCAGAGGAGCAGGAAAGCTGACGTTTCGGGTCTGGATTTAAAAGACATTTTGGACAGATATATGAATAGGAAGGGAAAGGGTCTGTTTCTGTGCTGTACATCTCTTATGAGTATGACTATGACTATGACTATGACTATGACCCTTCGATTGCCTCATCCTGCCCTTAGTGTGCTTCTTCTTCCTTGGGCTGAATTTCTGCTGTTCCTCCTGAATTACATGCAGAAATTCCTGTCATTGCTGCTCTGCTATCTTCCCTGCTCAGCTTACCTCCCAGTCAACTCTGGCCAACTCCTCCCTTGTGTCTTTGTTACCATTACTCAATTGTATCGCCACTACATCGCATTCAATTTTCTCCATCACAGACTGCAGAGTTAATTCTATTGTATGGTTGCTGCCACTGCCAAAAAAAAATGAGCATTTCCTTCACCTTAAACTCTCTAATCAAGTCTGCCTCATTACACATCAAATCCAGAACCGCTCGTTCCATCGTGGGCTTTACCACAAGCTGTTCCATTCTTGTAGACGTTCCACAAACACCTTTTCTTGAGATCTGCCACTAACTTGATTTTCCCAGTCCCTCACTATATTGAAGACCCCCAGGATTATTGTCTTAGTGCCTTTCTTTTTCCTGATTTATTTTCTTCCCCAAATCCTGATTGCTGCTAGGAGGCCTGTACATAACTCCCCATCAGGCGTCTTTTTCCTTTGCAGTTCTTGAACTCTGCTCACACAGATTCTCTGCCATCTGATTCAATATCACTTCTTGCTATCAAATTTTAGTTTCATTTCTTCAAAGGAAACCCTTCCCCAAAAAATAATTGCCTATCATCTCAATAGGACGCATATCCTTGGATATTCAGTTCCCAGCCCTGATCCCTTTGCAGCCATGTCTCTGTAATACCCACAACACTGTACTTGCCAATTTCAATCTGCGCTACAAGCTCATTTATCTTGTTTCATGTACTGCATGTGTTTCTTTCAATACCCTCAGCCCTGTGTTGATTGCCTCCCTTCTCATAATTTCTCCTCATCTGCTGTGCCTGAAGTTAGATTTCTGAGCCTTCTATGCTCTCTGTCCTATTACTTGTTCTAGAAACGTTAATGTCCTCTGAGCCCCCCACCCCTTCATTAACTTTTTCCATAATTTTCAATGCAACTGAACCTATCATCCCACTCTTTAGTTTTTAAAGCCCTATCCATTGCCCTAGTTATGCTCCTTGCCAGGACTTTGATCCCAGCATGATTTAAGGTGGAGCTCATCCTCCTTCCCTGGTACTCGTTGCATGATTTTGAACTGTTTCTCCCACACTAATCTTTGAGTCACACACTTATCTTTTAAACTCTTTTGACTCTGTGCCAATTTGCTTGTGGCTCAGGTAGTAATCCAGAGATTATTGCCGCCTTTTGCTTCTGCTTTTTAGTTTAGACCCTTGCTGTTCATAATCCCTCAGCAGAACCTCTCTTCTGTTTCTGCCTATTTGTTGGTACTTAGATGGACCACGACAACTGAATCTTCCCCTCCCACTTCTAGTTCCTTCAGCCCTGATGAGGGATCCTGAACCCGGGCAACAAGCAGGCAACACAGCCTTCAGAACTCTCAGTCTTGCCTGCAGAGTACGGTGTCTATTCCCCTGACAATACTATCTCTAATTTACAACTACATTTCTCTTTTCTCCCTTCTCTTGAATGACTTTCTGTACCAAGGTGGTGTGGTCGATTTGCTCATTCTTTGTACAGCCCCCACTCTAATCCACACAGGGAGCAAGAATCTCAGCTCTTGAGCTTTTCTAATAGTTATGAGGTTCCTTCATCGTTACCTCCTGGATCCCTCTACCTGCCTTGCTTGTAGTCACACTGTCCCGTCCCTGACCAAATTAGAGGTAGTTGATCTAAGGAGTGTGTCAGCTTTTTTTTTGTGGTGAGCCCCTCATCCTTGGCTTCAGTTTATCCTGTTAAAGAAAAAAACGTTGCTAACTATGAGCCAAAAATAGAGCAAAAAGCACCTCTTCGCCTCTTCCCCTCTACACCTAATTTCCACGTTGCCTCTAAATTCTTAGAACTGTATGCTCACTCAGCCTGTGTCTGACTCTGGATGTAATCTCTCCTCTCTGACTGTACAAAACATCCCTTTCTCCCCACTTTGAGAACTGCTCTCCTTAACATTTGATGTTAACCTATAGGCCAAGCTAAATTTAAAATGCAATATATTTAGAAACTGATAACATTGTACAAATGGAATTTCATTTCTAGCAAATATTTTTCTCCATCAGTTCCTCTTCTTTTGTATGTAGTAGTATTCCATATCTAATACATGCTGTCCACTGCAGTTTCCTTGTGTAAGCATTGGTAAGTTTTCTTTTATTGTGGAGACAGCAGAGACAGATGAGCCGTGTTATTCCCGGATATTAGCACATCTGCACTTGGATCCTGGAAATCTGTCATGAGTGGAATTTTTTGGTTCTCAAGCACTGAAACGCAAGGACCTCCCAATTTGTGATATTCCACAGTTAAAACTGTAGTCTCTTTATTCATTAAATCGGGGGTAAGTAGGAACCTCTTGGTCCTCGATTTTAAGTGTTATATATTTGCCATTCGTATCATTTCAAGTAGTCTGGTTATGAGGAGTGTGACAAAAAATGAAGGAATCCCTTTTATCTAGCTTTTGTAAAACCGGAAGCAGCTAGAATTCTGTCCACATTTGACTAGTTGCAGATGTTGCACAATTAGTTAGTTGTCTTCAAAACTTGAGGGAGAACCCATACTATTTTTGAGCAAACGCAGAATGTAGAACATTTTAGTTTGGTTGTAGAGTCATACAGCATGGAAATAGACCCTTCGGTCCAACGAATCCACACCGACCATGTTACCAAACCAAACTAGTCCCACTTGCCTGTGTTTGGTCCATATCCCTCCAAACCTTTTCCTATTTATGTATTTATCCAAATGTCTTTTAAACTTTGTAACCATACCTGCATCCACCACTTGCTTTGGTATATGGTATTCACTTTTTTCTTTACCAGACCGTGGTCGAGTTTGTTATTTTTTCTTAATATTTAAAGAGCTATACCGGCAAGACAGTTTAGAAGGTCAGAATGATATAGCAGTATCATTCCTACCACTGAATCCAGGCGTGTGTGGATTCAAGTCCCACCTGCTCCAGGGATGAGCAATATTTAGGCCCTCTTTGGCGCAATGATAATGTCCTTAACTTTGGACCGAGGGGCCCAGGTTCAAGCCCCGCTTGCTGGTGTTTAATACCTTCTCTGCACAGGTTGATTAGAAAAATAGGTTAAATTTTTAAAAAAAGGTCAGAACACACACTTCTAAAACATTAGAAAGTCAGAGGAAAGAACGTTCACATAAAAGTCATTTACGCAAGAGTCTTAGGAACTAGTTTGAGATATTTTATTGCTTAACTTTCAAGTAACTAGAAATATTTCTACAGTCAGTGTATGTATGTTCAGTAAACTTGCTTAATCAAGCCTAAAACAAGATCTGATGTGAAGTTACACCATTATTAAAGGGAAAGATTTATGCAGTTTTACACAGGAATGGCATACTTTCGGCGACTAAAATAATTAACAAAAAGGTCATTTTGCTCATTATTCTGAGGGAATTACTAAAGCTAACCTAGCTATCGAGCCTAATGCATTCTCAAAGGCAGCTGTGAGTGAAATAAGATATGGGAATGCAGTGTAAAATCTGGAAAAGACTCTGTCGTATGTGGCAGGATAAATCCTGTCTTTGTGTACAATTAGATTACAGTAACTGTTATTGTCGAGCAGCCATTGATTAAAATTGACCTGCTTTCAGTTATCCATTGAAAGTGTTCTCTCGTTCTCCTTTCAAAATAGGTCTCTCGCTGTTGGTACCAAATCTGGTTACAAGTTTTTCTCACTATCATCAGTGGATAAATTGGAACAGATTTATGAATGCAGTAAGTGATCCTAATTGAATTACAGTTGTCCAAAGCAGTTTACAGTGCGGTGTAAATGCACAAGTTGCTGTGTTTCTTATTACTGTACTAATGTAATAAAAAACAATCACTCACCTTGAGGGGTAAATTATCTTTTGATACTTCCACTAACTCCAGTGAGGTAATTAGACATTCTAGATACACTATCTAGAAAATTATCATTTTGGGGAGGCCATATGCCATGATGAAAAAACACCGATTAAATAACCAATGTTTACAGAATGTTATCTGCCAACTAAAAACTGTACTTGTAGCATTCCTCTCTGTTACATAAAGAAAAAGACATGAAAGAAATTGTTCAATGAACACAACTATACTCTTACAGATGAATAATAACTTTGAGAGATCTGAGCGAATGATAATTCCTTGTATATAGCAAGTCACTTATTGGAAAATCATTGTTTTGAGGACCTGAGTAGGAGAAAATTATGAAACAAATATCCTTTGACTTAGGATTTTTTTTAACATGGAGCGTATTATAAATTAGCGCAATGATGGTGTTTTAACTAATTAACAAATAACCTAATAAGTAAAGTCTTGTTCGTTAATTGAAATGCAGTTGAGTCATTGTGTGGGAGAGAGGAATCAGTTTCGCTGAGAGAGCTGCAGTTAAATATATCTTACTGTTGGTAAAGGTTTAAATTCAGGAATTTTTAGAATTTTGTCACTGGTGTTGAATGTAATTTTTTTTTTCTCCTTAATGTTTATTTACAGCTGACACAGAAGATGTTTGTATTGTGGAACGATTGTTTTCCAGCAGTCTAGTAGCTATTGTGAGCCTTAAAGCACCCAGAAAGTTGAAGGTTTGTCACTTTAAGAAAGGAACAGAGATCTGCAACTACAGTTATTCTAATACAATCTTGGCAGTCAAGCTAAATAGACAGGTGAGGATCTGTGATATAATTTTTTAAAGCTATCTGGGTGGTAGTAGGGCTTAAGGAACCAAGGGTCTCATTGAAATTTAACAGTATTACTAAACTCGTACAAAAGTATACATGTCCTTTAAATGTGACACGATTTTTCCACACACCATGTTATGCTTGAGCTTGTTCAGGCTTATATGCGTCTCAATCCTTCTAGCTTTGCCTCTAAAGGTCGGTGGCACTGTCATGATGTCTTTCATATTTGTTCCCAACAAAACTTGTGCAAACATTGTCCCCTCTGCTCCTTCCTCTAATTGTTGGTGTATCTAACCTCTTCCTCTACTGATTCTGCCCATCACTAGTCCTTCCCATCCATGCAACCCACTGAAGTGCTGCTGAATGTTTTGCTGCATTTCTTTCTATTTATGAGAAACTATTTGTATAGAGTTAAAAATATTCACCATCGGTAAGTACTCAAATTGTGCCATAAAACCTCGTAAGCACAGATAGCTGATGAGTACAACAGGATGAGTCACTTCTTAGGCTGTGGTCAAAGCTAATACCTTATGAACAAAAAGCTTGGGCTCTTGCCTTTTTTAATATTTTTGGCAAATTGTTCTCTTAGATACATTTTTAACACTGGCATCAAACCTTTTGGTGTGCGTGGTCTGAGAGCTTGCTGCTTCTTTTGGTTACAAAAGTCCAAACAGTCTCCATCTAATACCACTGCCTTCTGCCTAGCTGAATTTTTTAGACTGAAAACCATCTTTCAATTCCACTCCCATCTCCTTCAATTGTACTCCCTTCCTCCAAAGAAAAGATGTTGCTGTGGCTATTCACATGAATGGTAACTATGCCTGTCTTATTGTAGGTATATGGAACATTTCTTGTCCCAGTTTTACATGGGCAGTTTCCCTTGACTGTCCGATACATCAATGACTGTACCATGTCACTTCCACTTCTCACCCTAAATTGGAAACCTTTTCAGCTATTCTTCTAATTTCCAGCCTTTTTCACCTTTACATGGTCTGTCACTGAGTCTTCCCATCTCTTCCTTGATGATATGCAGACAAACCAATATTCATTATAAGACCACTGACTCTCAAAGCTACCATGACTACACTTCCTCACATCCCACTTCCTGTGAGGACTTCATTCCAGTTTGCTAGATTTTTTTCCCCCTCTGCTTCTCAGGGTGGAGCCTTTCATCTTACTGCTTCTGATATGTCTTTTCCTTAACTGAAAATTATGCTCTTCCATGATTGACGGAGCTCGAGACTGTTGGTTGCATTTCATGCACTTGCCCCTTCCATCTCTTCTAAAATCACATCAGGGTTTCCCTTGTCCTTATCCACAACCAGCCATTCTCCATTATTTCTGCCACTTCCAGAATGCTGCTTCAAATGCATCCTCCCCTGTCCTTTCAGCATTCTAAAGGCACCTCATTTTTCGATTGTTTGACCTGGCAAAGGTCATAATCTGCCCAATTTTGCTTACTTTTAATTTGTCTATTTTTCTTTTCTTTCTTTCATTTTCAGACAATAGCTGTATATTTTCTAATCAACGAATTCAGTGATATTATGCACTTCAGGAGGTGGGATTTGAACCCAGGCCCCTTGGCTCAGAGGTAGGGATACTACCACTGCCACAGGCAACCTATCGAACAGCATCTATTCATGATTATAAAATTCTCACCATCTGTAGACACATCTTCGTTGCATATATTTAGGAAGGCAAGGGAGATGGATTATGAAAGTAAGGAAGTTTTGCTATATCTGTGCAGCTCTTGATAGGACCGCAACTAAAGCAGCACATTCAGTTTTAGTTTCCTGCTTAAGATATAAATACAATGGAAGCAGTTCAGACAAGGTTCACTAGGTTGATTTTCTGGGATGAAGGCTTGTTTTATGAAAGCTTGACCAGATTAACATGCTGTCATTTGGAGTTTAGAAGAATGAAGTTTTTAATTCGCTCATGGAACGTCAGCTTTGCTGGCTGGGCCTGTGTTTTATTGCTCGTCCCTAATAGCTCTTTAGAAGGTTGTGGTGAGCTGCTTTCTTGAACCATTGTGATCCATGTACTCTAGGTGGATCCACGATGTCATTAGGGAGGAAATTCGAGCATTCTGAGCAAAGGCTCTGAAAGAATGATGTATTTCCAAGTGAGTGGCTTAGAGAGGAACTTGCAGCTGGTGATGTTCCCATATATCTGCTGCCCTTGAACTTCTAGGTGTTAGTGGTCATGGGTGTTTCATCGCATCCCTGACTTGGTGGATGGGCTCTGAGGAGTCAGGAGGTGAGTTGCTCGCTGCAGTATTTCTATCCGTTGACTTGCTAATATAGCCATTGCATTTATATGGCAAGTCCAGTTCAGTTTCTTGTTGATGGTAACCCCCAGCTTGTTGATAGTGGGGATTTTCAGTGATGGTAACACAATTGAAAGTCATGGGATGGTGGTCAGATTCTCTTATTGGAAAACCTGATTGCCAGGTATTTGGGTTATAATAATGTTACTTGCCACTCATCAACCCAAACATGGATATAGTCTAGGTCTTAGTCCATGTTCAAATGGAACATTTCCAAATCTATTTCAGCCCCTTGTTCTTATGTCACTTGTCCTGTTATCACTCCCTTTGGCCTTGGACCATGAACACTACTTTGCCATTTACTCTCTCCTGCCCTCCACTCCATCAAAGACATTGCCTTTTGTTTCTTCCCTCCCTGAACTTGCTCAAAACATTTTCCAATGTTTTCTGGCTATGGAAGGTTGCACACTTGAAACATTAACTCTTTCTTTCTTGTTACAGATGTTGCCAGACCTGCTGAGCATTTCCAACACTTTTTGTCTTTCCAACATATGTATTTTTGTGTGTGTGCGTGTTAGATCTGTGTAATTTAATGTATCATGGAGATTTTAAGATTGTAATCTAATTGAATCATCACCAGAACCAAGAGATATAATCCTCTATACAGTCTTTGTTTTCATAACATATGCAGTCTAGAGTTTCTAGGGTTATGTAAAGTGTTATTTTTCCCTGTCACAGATTGTCTAACTACTGGCATTTAATTCACAATGGTGCATCAGTGTTAGTATTTGGATAGCTATGTGGTGAAGGATAGAACTGGAGCCTGGTCTTGATCCACTTAAGAGCTTCTAATGTCAGAGGCGTACTTTTATGTATCATGCATCTCCAACTAACAACCAATCTTTTAACCTGCTCCTATAGAAAATATGTTTTTAATGGGCCTGTTTTGATTTATTACGACACACCTCTATAGCTGTTGAGACTTAAACCATGCTTCTATATGGGCAGAGAGAAGCCACCATAATTGCTAATTATCATCTGTTTACAATTAACCCAAATTGATATACAATTTAACACATCCGCATGAATAATTCTTATTTACAATATAACTGATTTAATTAAATTGCTAATTTTTAATAGTTAGCCAGGAAATAATTAAATATAAAGAAAAAAGATGTGATTGTGTTTTTGAGTATCAGATCAAGATGCTGTCTTATAATTGAATTATCAGGTGAAATAGCACGAAAAAAACTCATTTGGCTCATCATACTGGGCCATATCTTTGAAAGAGCTGTTGAATAAGTCCCACATATTGCTGTTTTCCCCATGTATTATCCATTTGTTCTTTTTCTGGTATTCATCCAATTCCTTTTTAAAAGTTACAATCAAGTCTGCATCCACTGCTCCTTCAGACAGTGCATTCTAAGATCATGGAAATTTACTACATAATTTTCTTTTGCCAGTTACCTTAAATTTGCATCATTTGATTACACTCTCTTTCAAGTTTGTTACAGTTTTAAAGTTACACTACTGTGTGGTATGGCTGCAACTTTTTGCCGCAGCTTATATTAATAATAGATCCAATCTAAACAAAATGTTGAACCTTCTGCAACCAAAATGTATTCTATGGGACATTCACTGGAACAGTTTGTGTTCAGGTGGAATTTTGACAATGGCTTGACTATATTTAGCATGTTGATATTTAGAGTAGTTAGTAAGAACATTTTGTCTGCATCAGGAGTATTTTGTGGTAACATTGAATAAAACAAAGTTTAGAATGTTTTATTTTTAAATCCCAACACCTGTAGAGGGCAAACTTGCAGCTTTATGGCTTTGAGCACTGAAAGACCTTTGCAGATGACAAAATGTGTACATTTCCTCCACAATCCTTCAATAATTGAATTCCAACCTCATAGAATGTTAACAATAGAGTCCTGTCATCTCTTTGACTTAAACCAGTAATGATATTAGTTTTTTGTTTTGTGATATCAGAGTGCTGCTGTTCTCCCAGGCTAATATTGACTTGTTTTCTCTCATGTAGAGATTGATAGTATGCCTAGAAGAGAGTTTGTACATTCACAATATCCGAGATATGAAAGTACTGCATACGATCCGAGAAACTCCTCCAAACCCTACAGGTAATTCTTACACAGCACATTTTGATTATTATCTCAAAAACTGAGGCAGTGGGTTTATGTGCCAGCTTTCCTTCAGAGCCATTTGGATATATCTTCCTAGTGAAGAAAGCAGTGAACTTATTCAACTAAAAGTAGTATCCAGTATGCACTGATATAACGTGGAAAATAGTATTTACCTGAAGTGATTTAAAGCTTTTCACTCTTAATTGGAGCTAATTTAGGGTAAGAGTATTTCCCTGATAACACCTGCCCACTGAGTTCAAGTTAATCAATCTGCCAAATGCTCAGGTTTGGGTCTGTAGAATTGACATTGTCTCACAGGGAAAGAAAAATGTTACCTTCCTCCAAATAGCCTGCTTAATTTTAATAAGCCTTAGCCATGCTATTTAAAATTATCATTTAAAGTTATACCTTAAAATCTTGAGTAAGAAAGATATATTTTCTGTTACTGGGAAAATATAAACCTTTTTTGAGAAGTAAAATCTTAGTATTGGTAATATTTCTGAATTTTCTGTGAATTTTTTTTAAACTTGGATTCCTCCTGCTTTACTCCTGTTACCCCTCATATAGTTCCTCCCAGTTTCAGAAAGATTCCTTAATTAATTTGAGGTTCTATCTAGCCCCTGTATTTGCAGTGTTTTATAATCATGTATGGATAATTCCTTTCATCTCACATATTCTTTTCAAGCATACACCTTTGATAAGAATTCTTTTCAAGCATACACCTTTGATAAGATTGTATCACTAAAGCTGTTCAATTTCTCTGCCTTTGTCTGTCCTACTTTCTAATGGTATTCATGTGATGAGGATCTTTGCTATCTGTTGGATTGACCCCTTGTGGTGCAGTGGTAGTGTCCCTAACCCTGGACTAAGAGGCCTGAGTTAAAGTCCCACCTGTTCCAGATGTGTGTAATAACATCTCTGAATGGGTTGATTAGGAAAATAGGTTTTTCAAAGATACAAATTGGATTGGTGAGGGCTCTTGTAGTGCAGATTCATGTCCCACCTGCCCCAGAGGTATGTAATAACACATCTGAATAGTTTGGTTAGAAAATACCTATCAATTGTATGGGTTCCAGTATTCCTCTTAATATTAATACTATTTTCATGCCTAGGTGTGATGCTGCTAAATCTCTTCTCCGTTTTTTCCTTCATTGATTAAACTATTGTTCATATCTCTTTGTTGTCTGTGCTTGCTTAAAAGACTGTGTGTGTGTGTGTGTGTGTGTGTGTGTGTGTGTGTGTGTGTGTGTGTGTGCGCGCGCGCGCGCACGCCATGTCCCCTCTAGGTGTATCCTGTTTTCAAAGTGGACCTTTCTGACTTTTCCTGATAGTTGCAGAGGTGTCTTTAATCGTCAATCCTTTTGACTCTTTACCTTTTAATTTTTTCAATATTTTGCTGTCCTAATTAGTTATGCTTCTTCATCAATTAAACCTGTATTCCTAACCATATATCATCACAATTCTACTTGTCTGATCATCTTTTTAAAAAAAAAATCATGTCAAATCACTTGTAATTGAATAATACTGACAACTTCAAGTATTCATGATGAGCTCCAATTCAGTCACAGTATGCAGGAAGCAAAATAAATACCAAGCAAAGCTGAAATAAGGACAGAAGTTCTGGGACAACTCAGTAGATCAGGTAGCATCTTTGGAGAGCAGCAGAGTTAATGTTTCACGTTGATGACCTTTTCTGTCAAAACAGTTCAGATGAAGGGTTATTGACCTGAAATGTTAATTTACTTTATTTCTGTCCACAGATACAAAATAATGCAGATGGTTTTCCCAAACCCATAGGCAACTGCTGTTGTTATTGGCCGTGCCTGAAGGCAGGCACTCTATTTGTCTTTACTTGTCTTTACAATGACTGCAAAATAAATTTGAATGTTTTACCCAGTTACCAATATGACTAGTTAAATACTTTTTAGAATAAAAACATTTATCAGCTAGGTTTCTTTTAATAAAACAGCAAAATGTTAAGTTATTTTGAAATCTTGTTTGAGACGGGGATAACCACAGGGGACTCCCGCACAACCTGTCTCCCTCTCCTACCTTTCCTGACGGTAACCCATCTACCTGACTGTGTCTTTTTTTTTCACCTTCCTAAAGTAGCCAACCATCACACCCCCTAACTTCTGTAAATTCCTCATTGCCCGTAACAGCTGCTGCAACAGATGCAATAGGATTTGCAACTAAGTGCACTTCCTACAGACATAATCATCAGTAACATAGAAGCTTTCCTTAATCTCCCACATCCAACAGGTAGTACGCATCATTCTACTGAAGACCATCTTTGTATCTTAACTATCTACAGACCCAGAAAATACCACAATCTTACTGCTGTAAAAAAAAAAAAACAGCTCCAGGCTAACTTAGTACCTATATTTTATATTTTTATAGTTTAATCAAGAGACAGATCTCAATAAAACAAATAATCAAAAGAAAACCCACTCTATTCACTACTGTAGCTTTATAAAATAAACTGTAAGGTTAAACTTTTTAAAAAAAAAAAAAAAAAAAGCCACTTAGCTGCTCCTCTGCTGTGAGCTCTGCCACACGGGTTTCTCCAAGATCAGCTTTGAATTTCACTGTTTAATTTTTCTTAGATGAACTCCACTATCCAGAGATACTTGAAATCTAACAGCAGAGGCAGTAGCTGTGCACGTTCACTGCTGGGTCAGACAGCAGTGTAAGCTAAATTGATAAATCCCTGGGACCTGGTCAGGTATATCCTAGAATTCTGTGGGAAGCTAGGGAAGTGACTGCTGGGCCCCTTGCTGAGATATTTGGATCATTGATGGCCACAGGTAAGATGCTGGAAGATTGGAGGTTGGCTGAGGTGGTGTGACTATTTAAGAAAGGTGGTAAGGAAAAGCCAGGGAACTATAGACTGGTGAGCCTGACATTGGTGGCAGGTATGTTGTTGGAGGGAATCCTGAGGGAACAAGATTTACATGTATTTGGAAAGGCAAGGACTGATTGGAGATAGTCTGCATGGCTTTGTGCGTGGGAAATTGTGTCTCACTAACTTGATTGAGTTTTTTGAAGAAGTAATCAAGAGGATTGATGAGGATAGAGTGGTGGATGTGATCTGTTCGGACTTCAGTAAGGTGTTTGACAAGGTTCCTCCTCGCAGACTGATTAGCAAGGTTAGATCCCATTGAATACAGGGAGAACTGGCTTGAAGGTAGAAGATAGAGGGTGGCATTGGAGGGTTGCTTTTCAGATTGGAGGCCTGTGACCAGTGGTGTGCCATATGGATTGGTGCTGGTTCCACTGCCTTTTGTCATTTTATATAAATGATTTGGATGTGAACATAGGAGGTATGGTTAGTAAGTTTGCAGATGACACCAAAATTGGACGTGTAGTGGACAGAATACAATAGGATCTTGATCAGATGGAGTTTAATTTAGATAAATGTGAGGTGCTGCATTTTGGAAAGGCAAATCAGGGCAGGGCTGATACACTTAAAGGTAAGGTCCTGGGGAGTGTTGCTGAACAAAGAGACCTTGGAGCGCACGTTCATTGTTCTTGAAAGTGGAGTCACAGGTAGATAGAATAGTGAAGAAGACGTTTGGTATGCTTGCCTTTATTGGTCAGTGCATCGAGTACAGGAGTTGGGAGGTTATGTTGCGGCTGTACAGGACATTGGTTAGGCCAGTGTTGGAATACTGTGTGCAGTTCTGGTCTCCCTGCTATAGGAGGGATATTGTGAAACTTTGGGTTTCACAAAAGGGCTCAGAAAAGATTTATGAGGATGTTGCCAGGGTTGGAGGATTTGAGCTACAGGGTGAGGCTGAATAGGCTGGGGCCGTTTTCCCTGGAGCATTGAAGGCTCCGGGGTGACCTTATTAGAGGTTTATAAAATCATGAGGGACATTGATAGAGTAAGTAGACAAGTCTGTTCCCCGGGGTGGTGGAGTCCAAAAGTAGAGGGCATAAGTTTAAGGTGAGAGGGGAAAGATTTAAAAGGGAGCTAAGGGGCACCTTTTTCACCCAGCATGTGGTGCATATATGGAATGAGCTGCCAGAGGAAGTGATGGAGGCTGGTACCATTACAACATTTAAAAGGCATCCGGATAGGTATCCGAACAGGAAGGGTCTAGAGAGTTATGGGCCCAGTGCTCACAAATGGGACTAGATTTATCTAGGATATTTGGTTGGCGTGGATGAATTGGACTGAAGGGTCTGTTTCCGTGCTGTACATCTTCATGACTCTATGACTGTATCTTGAAAATGAGATTTATTTGGTAAAAGTATAAAGTTAATTAACACAATTTGAACTATGAAAGCATAAACCACACTTGGAATATTGTGTTCAGTTCCGGTCACCTCATTATAGGAAGGATGTGGAAGCTTTAGACAGGGTGCAGAGGAGATTTACCACGATGCTGCCTGGTCTGGAGGGCAGGCCTTATGAGGAAAGGTTGAGAGAGCTCGGGCTTTTTTCATTGGAGTGAAGAAGGACGAGAGGTGACTTGATAAAGGTGTACAAGATGATGAGAGGCATAGATAGAGTGGATAGTCAGAGACTTTTTCCCAGGGTGGAATTGACTATTACGAGGGGGCATAATTTTAAGGTGATTGGAGGAAGGTGTAGGGGAGATGTCAGAGGTAGGTTCTTTACACAGAATGGTGGGCACTTGGAATGCGCTGCCGGCAGTGGCAGTGGTAGTGGAGTCACATACATTAGAGACATTTAAGTGACTCTTGGATAGGCACATGGATGATAGTATAATGTAGGGTATGCTGGGTAGATTGATCTTAGTAGGATAATAGGTCGGCACAACATCATGGGCCAAAGGGGCTGTACTGTTCTATGTTCTATAAATAGCTATCCTTCTAAATACATTAATACACACGTGAACGCACACTCACACCAGGAAATAAGGGAGAAAGCAGGTTTCCCTCTGCACAGAGTTTCACTTTGGCCAAAAAATGTTTTATTTTCCCAACGATGGTTCATTCTTGCAGGCAAAAGGATAAGGTGTGGAATTTTCAAACAGTCTAGGCATGGTAGTCTGGCATGTATGGATGGGTGTCACTAAGCAAATGTAGTTATCTCTGGGATCTTTGCAAACCTGGTTTCCTCGGAAGCACAGTATTGAGAATTCCTCCTAGTACTGTTCGAAAGGATAGTTGGCTTTCATGCTGGGTTGGGTTCCACACAGAGGTGAGCACTGTTTATAGTTCAGGAGGTGTGCGAAGGTTTGAGTTGCACAAGGATTTTCCAGAAATGGGAGAACTAAGCTGGGAAGCTCTTTATGTTTCTTGAATTTGGTCACCAACTACCCAAAATAATATCCAAAGCAGGGTGAAGCCTGGTGGTCAGAAACCCAAGCACAGGGTCTCTAGTAAACAATCAGGAATCATAAGATTTGTTTGTGATTTTTGAGAAATGTCGTAGTTAAAAGAAAATCTAATGTTCTTTCTTTTACTTCTTTTTAAAAAAAAGTTAGATATTGACAATCCTCCAAACTTCATAAGTATGAAGCCTTCATAACACTGTCCGTATATAAAAATCAGTATTATACTGCTCAGATGACATTTTATTGCCTTTTCTTGGAGCTTGGAAGCTTTAACTGAATTCTGAAGGAGCTCAGGGTGCAGTGATCTAATTGAAAAGGGTAATGACAGTGGTTCTTTCCATGAAAATAAGGTTTTCACAGCCTTGGATAGATATAAACTGGGCTGTATTGTTTTATTATGGAACTTTAGTTAGACTTACACTACTTCATAAATGTGTACATTGTCTCCTGCTCTGCTGTACTATTATGTATATTCAGTCCTGAAGCACTTATGAAATTTACGAAATCCCCCTTAATAAAGACCACTTTTTTTTTTACGTTCAGGGCTATGTGCACTTTCCATTAATAATGATAATTGCTATCTTGCGTACCCTGGAAGTGCAACAATTGGGGAGGTACAAGTCTTCGATACTATCAATTTGGTAAGTAGTTACATATTGAGAAAGGCTGCATTAATTATTTATGTATTCAACTTGTACAATATTATTTGATGCAACTTTATAAATAATCTCATTTTTAGCATATACACATCCTTCTAAAATTGTCCAAAATTGATGCGTAGTTTGAACAGAATGATTTATCACCCAGCACTGCTGATTTGCAAACTACCTGGCTCTTCCCTCAGCTGAATATCATTGCCATGGCAAGAAAATTTAATTTGACACAATAACAAATTTAAATATTTATAGGGATTGGAATAGATATGGAGGACGTGTTGGATGAGGATTAGGTCAGTCGAGCAATTGTGTGATTAAAGAAGGAAGGTTGTGTGATGGAGTATCCAAAAGACGAAATTATTTTTGGTACACTACTAAAGAGTTAAATGATAGATGCAGGCTTGGGGAATGGAATTTCGAGAGACGCTTATTTTTAGTGATTGGAAGCTATGTTGGAGTGAAAGGCGTTGGGGTATTGTACAAGAAGCTGAACTCTCCAGAGGAGCTTCAAGATGGGATAGCAGGCTAGAAGTGGTTGCTATGTGTAAAATTAAACCAGGGAGGAATGGTGATTTTTGAAATGAACTGTCTGAATCTTCTGAGGAGTAACAGTCAATGACTGCATCTGTGCTCTACTATTTTGCAGTCGGGCTGAGCTCTGTATTTCTGGCAAAGACCTCTGATCCCAGCTTCAAAAATGGCAATGGTACCTCCAATCCAGCTGTTATCTCTCAGTATGGGACAGTCAAGGAAAGTCAAGCCAGGCCCCCTTTTTATGGCAGCAATTGCCGTACTCGGTTAAGATTTAAATGTTTCAAAGTTGTTAATTCTGCTAGTTCCAGCTCTGATTCACAGCTGAAATTGTATATACTATTTTGGAAAATAATTTATTAATCATCCTGTGGCTAGCATTTCTGTTCGTGAAAATCCCCTCAGCCCCCAGTTTCATCTCCCTCCCTCGACCTGCAGAAGTGTCTATCTCTCTCCAACACCCACAACCTGACACTGCTTCACCATTTCGCATACCATCAACAATATTCTTTTTGTCTTGCCTTACAAAACTTCGCAGTTCACCCACCCTCATCCTGACAATGCTGCACCAGGCAGGTGCAGACATTCCAGCATGTGAATTACAGTGCGCAGTGAGATTGTGGTTTAGGAGGAGTGTGGAGGTCAGCACTGTTCTTGTTTTGGGGTGGATGGCCAGTGCTGGGACTAATGGGACATTTTTTAAATGTATATTTGTTTAGATGTATATTTGTTTATAGGATGTTGCCATTATCTACCAGGGCAGAATGTATTGTTCTGGTGAAATAGATTGTTAGCTGCTGCCTTGAATCAAAGGCCTACGGGTGTGAGAACACCCACTGTTTTGTTAGCAAGATATTTCCAGGATTTTGATCAAGTGACAGTGAAAGGAAGAGTGACACAGTTCCAAGTCAAGATGATGTGTGGCCTAGAGGGGAACGTGAAGGTTGTGGTGTTCCCAGACATCGACTGCCTTTGCCCTTCTTGTTGTGGACGTCACTGATTTAGAAACAAATATCTATCTTTTCTAAATACACAACACTGATTGTAGATAGAAGGGAAGGAAATTGGAGATCTTTTTGTTCTTTCCTTCCCTATTCATAACTGAGCCTCAAAAAATGCTGTAAATAGCCGTGCATTTATCTGTTGACTCAACTGACTCTTCTGAGGGGCCTAGAGTTGGGTTGATGGTTCATTTGGAGGTTAGTTTTCAAAAAAAAAGCTATATATTAACTTTATTGGACAGCATTGTAGTTTAAATCCTTGCCAGTTTGCTACTGGATCAAGGTTGAAACGAAACCCAGAGACCGAATGAGCACTGAAAGCATGAATTTATTTTCTCTTCTCTGGTGATTACTAATGATTCTGAGTTGGAGGTTTCAATTTCATTTCCTTTGAATTTAAACCCAGTTCTCCAAAATAAACGTTACAATCAGTGCATGAATGAAGAATTTTATCAATATTTGTTACTGTTTCTGTGATGCTTCTTCCAAAAATAACCAATTTGCATAGAGACCCTGCTTTATTCCAAATGATCCAGTCATTGCACAGTTTGAGTTTTGTACATGCTGTCAGCAGGCATGGATAGGGGTTGAGGTACAGTACAATTGCACCGTCCATGACTTCAAATGGCTAGTTAAATCTTGAGATAACGATTCTTTGTGCACGGTATTCTTTTACGTACATTGCATAATTTTTTTATAGAAAGTTTTAATGGAATATTTTTTAAATGTGAGGCTTTCAGATATCTGCTATATAACTTTGACATCCCAATACAAGAGTCATGAAAATGAGGTGAAGGCCTTTGAGTGAAGTGAATGCTTGATATTGATTGTAACAGCGTATGTAATTGCATTTTAGCTTGCTGAGATTCTGAATTATTCACTGTCTTGTTTGTAAAATCATATTTCACCCTGGGCTGTTGTTAATATACATATAAGAAATATTAGGATTATTTTTTGAACCTTTTTGTTTAGTAAATGGAATGTTCATGAAAGAATTTATTTCTTCTGTTTCTTTTAAAGAGAGCTGCTAATATGATCCCAGCTCATGACAGTCCACTTGCTGCTCTGGCATTTGATGCAAGTGGTATGAAACTCGCGACAGCCTCTGAAAAGGTAACCCATTTGAAGTAGATGTACGTTTCGAATATTAGCTTTAATCAATAGCATTTTTACGCTAACAGTTGGAGACAGAGAAATAAGTTATGCCTTGATGGGCTAAACATTTTACAACAGTATCTTTGTATTTGTACAGAAACCTCCATTCTGTGGTGTTATCCAGGAAGGATTACCAACTCAATATAGCAGATCTATATAAGGAATGTTAGGATAGATAATAAAACACAGCCAAAGTGGTAGCTTTTGTGAACATGAATAACTAAAGAAGTAGGAGGAGAAGATAGTCTGTTCCTCAAGCATACACCTTTTGTTGAATAAGATGGCTGATTCTCCACCTCTGATGCACTTGCCCAAACTATTCCCATATCCCTTGTTCCTATCCATTAGTAGGCAAAAATTGGTTGATCCCATTCTTGGAAAATATTCAACAACTCACTATCCACAGCTCTGTGGGAGAGAATTCCAAAGATTCACTGTCCTATAACAAACTTCATCTTATTTTGACCCTATATGACTAAAATCCTTGTTCTGAGACTATGGCTTATAGTTCTTGACTCCCATAACAGGTAAAACGTCTCATTTACGCTGCTTTAGAATTTTATAAGATTGTAAGAAAAAGGGGCAAGCATAAACTGTGCAGCACCTCATACCTGTTTTGCCATTCAATGTGAACATGACAGTATACTAGTGGTCAACTAATGGTATGGCTGGCAAAGATGGAGCTGTAAAAATTTCGGATGTGATAGAATTGGAGGAGCATGGAGATTCTGGAAAGTTGAGGGGATGAGTACAAACAAAAGGTCGCGAGAGAAAATTTTTGTCCTTTTCTCTGCCTGGAAAAAGTACCTCTAATTTTAAAACCATGCCCCTGAGTTTTGGGCTGACCCACAAGAGAAAACATCCTTTCATCATCCACCTTGTCAAGAGTTTCATGATCCAGTAGACTTCAGTCAAGTCACCTTTTATTAAACTCGATTGGAAGCAAGCTCAGCATATCCAATTTATCCTCAAGACAACCCTTGTATTCCAGGTATTGACCTTGTAACCTTCCTCTAAACCACCTCCACTGTATTTATATCCTTTAACTAAGGATACCAAAACTGCAGAGTTGTTGTGTTTTCACCAATGCCCTGTATAACTGAAGTGTCATGTCCTTTCTTTTATGCTCGGTTCCTCTGTAATAAAGGACAGCATCTCATAAGCTCTTTTGATTGATTGTGCTGTACCTGCATATTAGCTTTGCTACTCATGCACTAAAACACCCAAATCTTTAGACACCTTAGAATTCTGCAGTTCTTCTATGTTTAAATAATACTCAGCTTTGATATCTTCCTGACAAAATGAACTTAACTTCTGCACATATCATGTTCTATCTGCCAGATTTTTGCCAACCCACTCAACCTATCTGTGTATATCTGCATCTTCCTTATGTTTTCAAAACATACTTTATTACCTATCTTTGTGCTGTCGGTGACCATCATGCCTTTTCTGACCTGAGATGAGAGGAGCAATCACACGACACGAGGTTTGGACTATACCTGGTGTTGTGTGACGACTGACCTTGTTCACCCCAGTCCAACACTGGCACCTTCATGTCAATCCTCTCATCTAAGTCATTGATGTAAATTGGGCCTAGCACAGAATCCAATGGGACTCCATACTGTAGCTGACAATCTGTGATGGAAACCCAATTTAGTCATACTTTGGCTGGCTGGTTGGCAGAAAGCCATCAATCTTTTGTCTGTGCTACTATGTTACTTCTATAGCATGAACTTCTAGTTTCTGTCATAAGCTTTGATGTGACACCTTATGCCTTCTGAAAATCCAAGTTTAGTATCTTATAGGATCCTCTTTTATCCACAGCACTGGTTACTCCTTCAAAGAACACCAAATAATTGGTTAAATATCATTTCCCTCTCTCAAAACCATGCTCATTGTTCCTGATGACTTCAAATTTTTCCCAAGTGTGCAACTATACTTTTCTTTAATGGTTTTGACATCTTCCCTTTGACACGTCAAGCTAACCGGCTGATCGTTTCCTCTCTTCTTGAATAGAGAACTGAATATTGAGTATTTACTACTTCCAGTTGATGGAACCTTTTCTAAATCTAGGGAATTTTGGAAAATTAACACCAACACATCATCTGCCTCATTAACCACCTCTTCTGAGACTGGGATGGAGTTGGAGTTGTCAGCCTGCATCTCCTTTGGTTTGCTTGGTGCTACTTTCATAGTGATTATAATCTTGCTAATTTACTTTTTCCTTGCCTCCACCTGATTTTACAGCTATTACTGGAATGTTTTTTGTATCCTCTGTGGTGAAGACAGAAGCAAAATAGTGTTCCTTTGATCTGCAAGTTATTATTAACTCCTCATTCTCACTCTCTTGGGTACCGGTGCTCCTTTTACTTAATATTTTCCTGTTTAAATACCTGTGGAAACTCTTTATATCCATTTTGTATTCCTAGCCAGCACCCTGTCATATTCTAATTTTCTTTTGCTGATTTAATGTCTGACCTTTCACTTATGCTTGCATAGTTATGTGCTTTTTTCTTGTGTTTGATGCTTCCCTTAACCTCAGTTAACTACAAAAGATGTGTTCTCTTGAGAATTTTTCTTTACTGTTGAAGTATTCCACTTTGAGTATTCTGAAACAACCTCTTAAATGTCTGCCACTCGCCTCTCTTTATCTTCCCCCTAACCTATTATGCCCATTCATTTCAACTTCCGTGCCCACATAGCTGCCCTTATTTAAATCTAAAATGCTAGTCTTAGATGGAATCTTCTTCCTTGCAAAACGGATGTGTAATTCAATGTTGCTGGGTTGCTGCTACCCAAGGGCCCCTTAACCTTGAGGTCATTCATTAATCCTGTCACATTGTTCAACACCAAGTCTAATATAACTTGCTCTGTGGTCAGTTCCAAAATGTGTAGCTCTACGAAATGATCTCAAAAACATTCTATGAACTTGTCTTCCACTTACTACTGCCAATTTGATTTTTTTTTCCCAGTTTAATTATGTATATTAAAATCATCTGTGATTATTGCTGTTGCTGAATCACAAGTACTCAATCTTGTTGGATACTTTGTCCCATATTATGGTTACTGTAAGGGGGCCTGCAAAACTATTCTGTCAGTGACTACTTTATGTTCCTCGTCTCCACCCAAACAGATTCCAAATCCTGATCTTCAGAACCATGGTCTTTAACTATCTTTAACTATTGCACAAGTGCCATCCTTGATTACTCTACTATCCCTCTATATCTACCTACCTTCCTATTTTGCTTGATTGCCATATACCCCTCAATATTCCGGAGACAGTGCTTGTCAACCTAAAGCCAAGACTGTGAAATGGTCAGCAGATCACATTTATTTACATAACTGTGGCTATCAATTTTTTTTTAACTTTGTATGTGAATGCACGTAACATTCAAAGTCTTTTATTATTGTATTTTTGTTATCTTTGTAACATCTAGTCTTGATTCTTGGTGTACTCCTAGGTTTTTTTTTATTCTGCTGTTTCCTACCAGTGTCTGACTGTCATTTCCCATATTATTTTTCTCTCTTATATTGTCTCTGCACTGTGATCTATGACTTCTTTCCACATTTGGTTCTGTTAAAATATGACCATTGACAAATGCTTCTGCCCTATTCGCTGTATCTTGCACTCTTGTCAGTGTGATGTGCATGTGATGGTCCAGTATTCTGTTTAAAAAATCTTGACTTAAAACAACTTCATTCTCCAAGTGTTTGAAATAATTCCGTTTTAAGAAATATCTGTTGCATCCTGGATCGAGACTATTAAAAGCCATCAGTGTAAAATAATGGCAGTTACAGTAGAGGAGGAAGCTACCTCACCCATTTGATCCATTCTTTGTGCTTGTTATTTCTAAAAATATTCCTTGGAGTTTGGGCAGAGATGCTGTGGAGTATCTATTATCCATCCTGCTGTCAATTTCTTTAATGTAGCAATTGTTTTACAAGTGTGAGATTTTTTTAGACCTTGAAGAACATTAAAAGCTAACCATATTTCATAAGTCTAGAGTTTTGTGTTGGCCCTGGGGAAGCTGGCCAGTTCTCTTTCCTATGTACATTGCTCAGCCAGTTGGACTTTTATGATAGCCATTAGCTTTACTGGATTTATTTATTCATTGCATGACCAGCCATGATGTGATTATGAGCTTGCAGCTGCTGTCCTGCTAGTTCAGTATTGTAGTCACAACAGTACCATAAGAACTACTGTAACCCTACTTCTCTAGTTGTTACCCCTGTGCTTTTATATTATTTCTTTACAAATACTAACATATAAGATCTGCCGGAAAATTTGAAGTAAGGGTCTAGATGTCAGGTGGGTTAGCCATTTGTGGATTGTGGTCTGCTGCTACAGGGCATTTGGGAATGGCCAATTATTTCTGGCCTACTGCAGTGGTTTCTGTCCCTATGAAAAATGTCTTGTCTGTGGAAACTTCACTAATAGCTAGAACTTGACACCACAGAATGAAGGAGCAGAATTGGGCCATTCAGTCCGTCAAGTTTGCTCTGCATTCAATCGTGGCTATATGTTTCTCAGCCCCATTTCCTGCCTTCTCCCTGCAACCCTTTATCGTCTTACTAATTGAGAACTTATCTCCCTCTGTCTTAAATACACTCAGTGACTTGGCCTCCTCTGTCCTCTGCAGCAATGAGTTCAACAGAGTCTCCACCCTCTGGCAAAAGAAATTCCTCTTCATCACAATGGGTTGAATATCACTCTGCTGCAAAGCACAGCGGTATCAGGCCATTACTTTACTTTATGTTCCGATTTTTGATAAAGTCTATGCTGTATGAGAGGATAGTATTTGAATTTCATTTTGTAAATGGCCCTTTTTTAGTAAATGTATTAACATAGTGCAGCGCCAGGATGTTTTCCTTGCTTAGTCAGCTTTGTTTACTATAACTTGCGTTTTCATGCTTCTTTTGCTGATTTTTGTTTCGTTTGATTTGTTGTACATGCAGGGAACAGTAATCAGAGTGTTCTCCATTCCAGAGGGACAGAAACTCTTTGAATTCCGAAGGGGAGTTAAGAGGTAAGAAAGAAGGTAAATGTAAACTTGATGGCAAGCCTGCTAGACTTGTAAAGAATAAAAACCTAATTCATCTGAGAAGTACAATAACAAAAATGTAACAAGTAGAAACGGAATAACCCATTCCGTCCTTCAAGTGTATAACACAATTGGTATTTGGTATTCAAAAATCTATCAAAGTCTGTCTTGAGTATAGTCAAAGAAATTTCGCCTCCAGAAGTGCTGCTGATGGAAAAACATTCTACCACCATCTACCCATTCAAACACCTTTTGTATGTTTCATATGTTTCATTGAGATCACTTCTTGTATTTCAACTAAGTTTTTCCAATCTCTCAACTTTGCTACTAAATAAAATGAATAACTTGACATTTCTCCACATTGTAATTCATCTGCCTCATTTTTGCTTACTCACCTAACCTATCAATATTGCTTTACAGCCATTTTGCATCCTCCTCACAGTTTACTTACCCTTCAAACTTTGTATTGTTAGAACTGCATGTATCTGTTCACGTTTGCTGTCATCAAAGCCATGGATGTAGATTGTAAATAGCACTCATCTTTGCAGTACCCTGTTAGATTAAAGCCTAGCAACGCAAAAATGTTTGTTCCTACCCTCTCCTTTCTGCCTCTTAGACAATCCTTAAATCCTGCAATATCAGTCCACTGCCCCAATTACTTGAACCTTAATTTTGTGGAATGACCTCTTGAGTGCTACTTTATTGAATGTTGTATTTGAAAATGCAAGTACACTACATGTACTCATTTCTCTTTACCTACAACCTCAAACAAAATACTCCAACTGGTTTGTTAAACATAATTTCCCTTTGATTAATCCATATTGACTCTATCCAGTCATATTATGATTTTTAAGTGTCGTGTTAACCGTGTCCTGAAAGCTAAATTCTAAACTCGTTATGACCTGATATTTGGCTAATGACTTAGTTCCGTCCTTTCTTTCCCTCCTTTCCTGAATAACAAGGCTATGTTTGCTGCTTTACAATTCACAAGGGCCATACTAAAATCTAGGGAATTTTGGACGATCAAAACCAATGCATCCTCTATCTTTGGAACTACTTTTTCTTTCTTAAAAAAAAAAAAAAACCCTGGGTGTGGGCCATGAGGAGAATTGGATTTGTTACTTTTTATTCACATGAAATTTTCCAGTGGTTTTTTTTTCCCCATTAATCTTCATTTAAGTACTGCATTTTCATTGGATCTTTGAGTTCCTTACAATATCTAGAATGTTTTTTCTTAAGTCTTCCACAGTGAATTACAAAATACATTTTAAGTCTGGGTTTTGGGTCAAAACCCTGGAATTCCCTTCTTAGAAGCACTGTGGGTCTACCAACATTACATGGACTATAGCATTCAAGACAGTTAGCATCTTCTCCAAGGGTGACAAGTGAAAAGCCAGCAATGCTTACATTCCAAGAAGGAATTAAAAATATCAGCTACAACTTAGGCTCCAAACTAATTCTTTTTTGCCAATTGTAACAATTATCACAACTTGACAAACTTTTTAAACTTTATTTTTATTTAATTCAAATCTCACTGTGGTGCGATTTTACCCCATGTCCCCAGAGCATAATTCTGGAACTCTGTAGCCTTACCAGTATTCTTCTGTGTTCCATTAGCCATGGAGATTCATTACAACAATTTGTAGGTAAGAGGCTTACTGAAGGAGAGAAATCAATGGCCTTTTGTTAAAGGAATGGAACTGATTATGGTACAAGAAATTGTGACCTGATTTGTTCCATATTTAGGGTTATTATGGTTTCTATTTCAAGTAATTCAGAATCTGAAAGCAATGTGAAATTTGCAAATGATACTACATCTGAGGAAGTTTGTATTAACAGTCTGAGAGTTAAAACATGTAAATGAGGAGGATAATATCAGATTAAATTTTGTGTTGGCAACATGTAAAATATTGTGCGTAAGGAAAATGGGATGATACACTTCATGAATGGTATTGAATATCTAAGGAAGAAGGCGAAAGACTTCTGAATCTTAATAGATGAGTACCATCTATAAGCAAACCATTCAAAGCAGTCAATAGAATAGGCCGAGGAGTGGCAGATGCATTTTAATGTAGATAAATGTGATGTTGCATCTTGGTAAAGCAAACCATGGCAAGATTTGTAAAGTTAATGGTAGAGCTGTGGGGTGTGTTGCCGAACATAGAGACCCGCATGTGCATTGTTCCCTGAAAATGGAGCCGCATGTAGACAGGGTGGTGAAGAAAGCATTTGGCATCCTTGCCTTCATTGGCCAGAACATTGAATATAGGAGTTGGGACATCATATTGTGGCTGTACAGGATGTTGGTGAGGCCACTTTTAGAATACTGCAAACAGTTCTGGTTGTCCTTCCATAGGAAAAATGTTGTTAAGCTTGAGAGGGTGCAGAAAAAATTTACGAGCATGTTTCCGGGCCTGGAGGGTTTGAACTATAGGGAGAGGCTGAATAGGCTGGGGCTTTTTCCCTTGGAGTGTTGGAGGCGGAGGGGTGACCTTATCATGGTTTATAAAATTGAGGGGCATAAAGGTGAATAGCCAAGGTCTTTTCCCAGGGTAGGGGTATCAAAACTAGAGGGCGTTGGTTTACGGTGGGAGGGGAAAGATTTTAAAAAGGACCTCGGGCAATTTTTCATGTAGAGGGTGGTGTGTGCTTGGAACGAACTGCCAGAACAAGTGGTAGAGGTGGGTATAATTACAACATTTAAAAGGCATCTGGATAGATATATGAATAGGAAGGGTTTACACGGATATAGACGAAATGCTGGCAAATGGGACTAGGCTAGATTGGGTTGTCTGGTCAACGCAGACAAGTTGGTCCAAAGGGTCTGTTCCCATGATGCCATGACTGGAACAGTGAAGTATAAACCTGAAAAAGCTTTATGATTGAAGTATACAGTGCTCTGGTTTCAACATCTTGAATGTTTTGTCCGGTTCTGGTCTTTGACCTCAGAGGCCAATTTCTAGTGCTGGAGGAATGTAAGAATCTTCCATGAGAGGATGAGCCATGAGGAAAAATTGAAGAAATTTGTGCTTTTTGGTCGAGAGGGTATCCTATATAAAGGTCTTCAAGATATAGTAATAAAAGTGGAAAAGGTAAACCTCAAATATTACATTAAGTTAAATGAAGGGACGAAGAGACAGGTTCAAGCTGGTTGAAATTATATTCGACTGCTTTTGGGGTTTGCATTAGTCACTTAAAGTTGACACTAACATAAAATGGAGTTTGACATTTCCTGGCGTTTTCTGCAGGAAGGTAGCATATGGAGAATTTTGTTTTTAAAATGCTAGGTATTTTTGTCATAAGTTTGACATGAATTTCAAGTTTTTAGTTTGGTAAGCAGGTTTTTACTTGCTCAGTGACAAATTTCTTATCATTTAGGTGCGTCAGTATTTGTTCATTAGCATTCAGTATGGATGGAATGTTCCTGTCTGCATCCAGTAACACAGAAACAGTTCACATCTTCAAACTGGAGACACAAAAAGAGAAGTAAGTAATCACTGAAATAATTGTCAGTGTTGAATGACCGGCCTCATGAATGAAAGATTCTCGATTAAATCCCGCCAGAACAGCACTTTTGTTTATCACAATGACTTTTAAACACTCACCAAAAAATGCTGTACAATGTGTCATGATTTTACATTGCAGCTCTCTCCCTCATTCTCTTTCCCCTTCCCGCTCCCCATTCACTGTCTTTCTGTTTCCGTTTTCTTTCTCCCCCTGTCCATTTCACGTTCTCTCTCCTAACTTCCCTCACTCAAACATGAACTAGAAATGGCAGTTGGCCGTTCAGCCCTTCAAGACCATTTATCTGTTCAGTTAGATCATGGCTGATCAGTTTTTGTTTTGAATTTCATATTCTCACCTACCTCCAATAATTTATGATTCATGTTGCAAACAAGAATCTGTCAATCTTTGCATTAAAAATGTTCATTGATGCCATCTCCACTTCTGAGACAGAGTTCGAGTGTCTCAACTCTGAGAGAAAACAGTTCTCCTTATCTGTCTGATAAGGTCAGTTGTTAAAAAGTGCCCTTTGATTTTGGACTGACCCACAAAAAAAACATTTTCTATGTCCACCTGGTCAAGACCATTCAAGATCTTTTATACTCCTTGTGTCTTCAAAACACATATGACTACATATCTTTGTGTCATTCGCAAATCTGGGTACCATGCCTTTTGACACCCTCCTCTAAGTCATCCATTATAGATTGTAAAAAAGCTGAGGCCAGCACAGACCTGTGTGTGACTCCACTTGTCACATCCTGCCCATCAAAACAATACCTGATTATGCATACTGTTTTCTACCAGCTAGTCAATCTTTCATATATTTGAGCTACACCATGAGCTCCTATTTTGCACAATAACCTTTGATGTGGCACTTCATCAAATGCCTTTTGGAAATTCAAGTACAGTATGCCTACAGCATCCCCTTTAACCCTAGTACATGTTACTCCTTCAAAGAACTCCGATAAATTGGTCAAACGTGATTTCCTTTTCACTAAAACATGGTGACACTTCCTAGTTCCTTGGGTTTTTGAAGTGCTCAGCAATAACTAACTTGACAGTTGGTAGAGATGCCTTCCCCACAACAGTCAAGCTAACAAGCCTGAAGTGTCTTGTTTTCTGCTACCCTCCATAATTGAATAAACAGGTTTCATCCAGCTGGAAAATAGCAAAAAACCTTTCAAGGATCTCTCAAATTTTGGAAAATTAACACAAATGCTTCTCCATATCTCATTAGCTGTTTCTTTTAAGACCCTAAAATGAAGTCTGTCATGACTTGGAGACTTGTTAGCTTGTAGCCCATCAGTTTCCTCCGTACACTTTCCATGGTGGTTGTAATTCCACCAAGTTCCAGTCTCCCTTCCACCTTCTGATTTACAACTATTACTGGAATGTTTTTGGTATCCTCTAGTGAAGTTAGAAGCAAAATATGAATTGATTTCATCCTTTTTCCCTATTATTTACTATTAACTCTCCATTTTCATAGCAGACCAAGAGACTTTTTACTTGCACTTTTCGTTTTTAAATATCTGTATAAACTCTTGCTATGTGATTTTTACATTTCTAGCTGGCTTCCTCTCCTACTGTTACTCTGATTTAATCTATTAGTCTATTCATACATTATAATCTGTTTTTCTGATCTGCCGCTCATCTTTGTGCAATTATTTTTTTTCCCCTTAAGTTCGATGCTCTCAACTTCTTTAGTTAACCACTGCCTGGTGGCTTTTTCCCCATGAAATTTATTTGTTGTTTGACTGTAATCATTTGAGTGTTGTGAAATATCCCTTAAATGCCTAGCACTGCTTCTCTTTTCATCTGTTTCTTAGCCTAGTAAGCCAATTTATTTCAGCTATCTTAGCTTTCATGGTCTTATTTAAGTTTTAAAATAACTGTTATCCCACCTCCTGAGTCACTAGCAAGTACACACTGAGGAGGGACTGTTCACATGTTCTCAGTGCAGGAAGGGGTTGAAAAGAAGGCTATAGGTTCTTGGGTTTATAAATAGAGGCATAGAGTGTAAAAGCAAGGAAATGATGCTATACCTCCTACAAATCATTGGTCAGACCACATTTGGACTATTGTGTTCCGTTCTGAACTTCTTATTTAAGGAAGCAAGTTAAAGCAAAGGAGATTTACTAGATGATGCCGGGAATGAGAGATTTAAGAAAAAATAAAAAATTGAGAAATTGAGTGAATCCTTCTTAGAGATGTACAGCACAGAAGCAACTCATTTGATCCAACTCGTCCATGCTGACCAGATATCCCAAAATAATCTAGTCCCGTTTGCCAGCATTTGGCCCATATCCCATATTGGCAGACGGTGACTCAGTGGTTAGCACTGCTGCCTCACAGCGCCAGGGACCCGGGTTCGATTCCACCGTCGGGCAATTGTCTGTGTGGAGTTTGCACATTCTCCCCATGTCTGCGTGGGTTTCCTCCGGGTGCTCCGGTTTCCTCCCACAGTCCAAGATGTGCAGGCTAGGTGGATTGTCCATGCTAAATTGCCCGTAGTGTTCAGGGATGTGTAGATTAGGTGGGTTATCGGGGGATGGGTCTGGGTGGGATGCTGCAAGGGTCGGTGTGGATTTGTTGGGCTGAAGGGCCTGTTTCCACACTGTTGGGATTCTATGACGATCTGTGAGATCCTTCCTAAACCCTTCCTATTCATATTGTAAATATTTTAAATATTGTAATTGTACCAGCCTCCACCACATCTTCTGGCAGTTCATTCCATACACTCACCACCCTCTGTGTGATAAAGTTGCCCCTTACATCCTTTTATAATCTTTCCCCTCTCACCTTAAACCTATGCCCTGTAGTTTTGGACCCACTACCCTGGGGAAAAGACCTTGACCATTCACTCTACCCATGCCCCTCATTTTATAATGTCACCCTTCAGTTTCTGACACTCCAGGGAAAATAGCCCCATCTTATTCTTGGAGCAGAAATAGTTGAGGTGACTTTATTAAACTGTTCAAAATTATGAACAATTTTGACAGGGTAAAGAAGGATATTCTGTTTCCACGAGTTTGTAGTAATCAGTAATTAGGCGTCACAATTTCAGGATTGTTAGCAAAAGAGCAAGGAATGAAATGAAGAGAAACTTCTTTACTGAGAGGTTAGGATTTGGAATATGCTGCCTGGGAGAGTGGTGGAAATGGTTTCCATACAAGGCTTCAAAAGAGAGCTGGAAATATATTTGATGAATTTAGAGGGACTAGCTGGGTAACTGTTTTGGGAGCCAGTACAGACACAATTGATTGAATTGCCTCCTTCAGTACTGTAAGATTCTATGATTCTAAAATACTGGGCTTAAACTCATTCTTTTCCCTTTCAAACTGCATGCAAAATTTAGTGATTGCGATTGCTGTTATCTGAGTGCTTTTACTCTGAGCTTATTATTCAATTTCCACATTTTACAATACCAGCTCTAGTATAACCTGTTCCCTGGCTGGTTCCAGAATATGCTGCTGTAAGAAACTATCTTAAAGCATCTATGACCTCATCAAGACAAGCATTGCCAATCTGATTTTATTTTTTATGTAGATTAAAACCACCCATGGTTATTTCTATCTCTTTATGATAAGCACTCAAATTTTAAAAAATATATCTCATTCTACATTGTGTTCAATTTAAAGGGGTGCTGTAGTCCACTGCTAAGAGGGACTACTTTCCCCAAATATTCCTTAAGTCCACATAAACTGATGCTACATCCTGATCTCCTAGCTGTTGCACCAATGTCACCCTTGATCAGTAGTGCTACCCCTCCATGTTTTCCAAGTATCCTAATCTTCTTTAATTTTATATGCCCTCTAGTCCGGACCCTAGTCGTCATGACTCGTGTCTTCCTTATGGCTGTCAGGTTATATTTATTTACTTCAGTTTGTTTACTTAATTATGAATGTTTTGCACATTCGTTTGCAGATTTTTTTGTTTTATCATTTTGTTAGCTTTTGTTAACATTTAGAATTCACTGTTGGTGTACCTTTGGGTTCATGCTCTGTCCCTTACGGTCATTCTCTGACCTTCATTTTCCATATTACTATTTTGCTCTTCTGCCTTGACTCCAACCCTTTTCTTTTCTGCAACTACCTGAGCTTAATCCCTAATTTTTAGGGTTTAAAGCCTTCTCTACTTCCCTAGTTAAACAATTGCTAGAATATCGGTTAAGGCATAATTCAGGTAGAGACTATGCTGTCCTTGTCTCCAATTGCCGCCTCTCAAAATTCAGGGTTTTTCACCAGTTGTGGGACAGGCTCTTGAGACTGAATGGTTTGGTTTGTCCCTGTTTGTGTGTGTGTGTGTGTGCGCCTTTTATTGTATACCTTTCAGCAACTGTCTTAGTTGCTCTGGGAGCATTCAACTGTGCAATTCAGGCAATAAATAATAGGGAATAAAAACTGAAAGAACTACGGATGGTGTAAATCAGAAACAAAAACAGAAGTTGCTGGAAAAGCTCAGCAGGTCTGGCAGCATCTGTGAAGAAAAAAGCAGAATTAATGTTTCGGGTCCAGTGACCCTTCGTCAGAACGTTAACTCTGATTTTTTTCTTCACGGATTGTGCCAGACCTGTTGAGCTTTTCCAGCAACTTCTGTTTTTGTTGTGAATAAATAACAGGGTGCTCGGTTGAGGAAGAGATTGGTTATGTAATATTTCTGAACACCTCTCCCTGTTTAGACCACAGGAGGAGCCAACCACGTGGACTGGTTATTTTGGGAAGGTGCTCATGGCTTCCACTAGTTACCTGCCTTCCCAGGTCACTGAGATGTTCAATCAAGGCAGGGCATTTGCAACAGTCCGGCTGCCATTCTCAGGGCATAGAAATATTTGTGCATTGGCAACGTAAGTATAACATTTTGCTAAAGATTAGACATATTATCCAGTTTTGGATTTTATGAAAATTAATGCATAAACTTTATAGACTGTCAAACTAAGCCTGTCATTTTCTGTGAGTTTTTAGTGATAAAATGCATTGAGTATTCAGTAAGTTTTGACTATTCAGTTTTATAGTCTGATTGAGAAGTTGTCATTTCTGGTGTAGTGTAATTGGTTAGTCTGAAAGAAGTAAAATATGGAAAAGAATTGAGAAAAAGAAATCTGAAAGGAAGGAATGTGACATTAGGAAATAATTGGAAAAGTCAGGAATAGGAGGATGAATATGGAAAGATGAAGTAAGTGCAGGGTAGCAGTAGTTCCTACTATCTTAATTTGGTATTTGACATTTCTCCAGAATACAGAAGATTCCTCGGCTATTGGTAGCAGCGGCAGATGGTTATCTCTACATGTATAACTTGGACCCACAAGAAGGGGGCGAGTGCACACTAATGAAACAGCACAAGTAAGCAACACGACTGTGGCCTGCTGGAAGTACGTTCCAGAAGTTGCTGTGTGAAATGATTATTTGCACCACACCTGTAAGATGATGCCTGTTAATTGAGATTTTGTCTTGGTAATAATGACATGTCAGCTACACCCATTGTTTCTCCATTTAAACTGATGGCAAGTTCTGAAGTCTATACATGTGCAGAATGACCAGTCGCAGCTGTCAGTGATTCTGTGCTTCTCCAGAGAGTGCACTGTTGAGACACCCCAGACTGGAATCAATGGGCAGTTCATGCATTGACAAGAACATGTACTACAATATTAAGTGTTGCTGTAAAAACCCTTAAAGCTGTAACTTATTAGAAGAGATCAAACTAAGTTTTTAAATGGTACACTATCCTCATTGTTCCTGCTGAACAACCTAACCAGGTCTGAAAAGCTAATTCACATTTGATATTCCACAAATTTTTCTTTTTGTTTTAAATGTCATGTTTTAAATTTTGCAATAGAATTTATGTATGTAGTTAGGTTAGCTTCTATCTTAATCCAATCATAATTTATTTTGCTGTATAACCAAGGGTAAAATGGCTTTTAACCCTGGTTTGCTGTCAGTGAAAACAGTTCAATCTGATTGGCTGTTTATCCTGTTGATTTTACTATTGCTGTATGCCTTGAAATTGCTAGAATTAAACTGACATTGGGAAAGGAGAAGTCTACTTTGTGCCTGACTCTGAAATCCAGGCCACTACTTTGTTTATTTAAAAACAGAAAATGCTGGACAAATTGAGCAGCATTTGTAGAGAATAAAGCAAAGTTAACATTTCGAGTCCCATTTGACTCTGAATCATATTGAACTTAAAATGTTAACTCTGCTTCTTTATCCAGAGATGCAGTTTGTTTTGTTGAGCTTCTCCAGTATTACTTGTTTTTACTTCAAATTTACCGCATTTACCATTTTGCTTTTATTTCAATGTTTTGATTTTATTGAGAAGTAGAGGAATGTATAGAGACTCCTAATTGAAGCAAACATTTCTCAGAAAAAAAGGACAACTCTGCATTTCTGGTCAAGTATGAGTAACTTCACACATAGGACATTTCACACATAAGATGTGGAGACCAGAAAATATGTCGAAATAGAACTTTTTGATAGCAGGATGTTGCTCTTTTTTGCATCTCCCATATAACACTTATAACAAGGGCAGCATAGTGGCTCAGTGGTTAGCACTGCTGCCTCACTGCGCCAGGGACCCAGGTTCACTTCCAGCTTCTGGCACCTTTCTGTGAGGCGTTTGCCCGTTCTCCCTGTGTCTACGTGAGTTTCTGCCGGGAGCTCTGGTTTCCTCCCACAGTCCAAAAATGTGCAGGTTAGGCGGATTGGCCATGCTAAATTGCCCGTAGTGTCCAGGGGTATGTAGGTTAGGTGGTTAGCCATGGGAAATGCAGGATTGTAAGGATAGGGTAGGGGGGTGAGCCCGGGTGGGATGTTCTTCGGAGAGTCAGTGTGGACTTGTTGGGTCGAATGGCCTATTTGCACACTCTAGGGATTCTTAAAAAACACAACTGATGCAACAACTTGCTGTATGTCAAGTATATTTGAATAGCTATATAAGAATTACAACCTTAACAATGAGACCAAAGAAGAAAAAAAATCAATAATGCATAATTGGGAAGTCTTTTTTTGAAATTTGATTTGATGTAATTTATTAGGTTCCGAATATTCCTCTTAATCTTTTGTCTGCATTTTTCCACATGTTGTATTTGGAAATTTTGTGTTTAGAACTTATTGGCGATTTTGCACTAGAAACGGTTTCAATTGGGTTGAGAAGTAAAATCAAACTCTTTTGTACAAGGATTAAAATGCTAAGAATTGAGAGGAAATAACACATTAGTTCACAGAATACATGCCTTGTTCTATTAAAATATCTCATCTCTTTCATAGTAATCGATCTACATGCTGTTGATGGTGCTTATTTGTTTGTTGGGTTGTGGTTTAATACTCAAACCCCTTCCCCTTCCCCCTAGCGAACAAAGGCTTTTTCTGCTCCCCCACCGCACCTCCGCCCCCCCCGCCAAGTGTTCTTAAGCAAATATTTTGGAGCATGTGAACTATATTATTGGGAATACATTGTGTGGCTCTTTGTCAACAATAATTGGATATAGAGAAATATAGGTGGAACCTTGGATAAATACTACTAAGTCACTTGGATATTTGTATGCGTTGCTCATCGTTCAAAACACTTAATTTGCTTCACTTAAACATGAGTAAATTTTCATCTTCACTGCTTGGGAAAATGGGGTGTTTACTCTTTATGAAAGTTACTTCACCTCCATTACGTTGGTTTAATGGGGATGAATGTCAGGCAGGTTCTGTAAATGTTGGATAGTCCTCTCTCACAATTACTGACTGCAAGATGCAATCTGAAATCCAATCCTAATATGCACAATGTTTTGATGTGCTGTTGACTGTCTCAGAAGATGGAACTGTTCTCCTTGGATTTTTATTTGCTTATAGCCATTGAGGAAATCCTCTCGGTTAGTAATTGTAGTCCATACTACCATATCATTTATGCCAGTCAACTTGTTGCCGAATTTGAGTGTGTATTACAAGTCTAGAACTGACCATCTTATAAATAGAGGCCTGCTCCCGAGTTTGGCCCTAATGAAAATTGGGAGATGGTTCGTCATTGCATTTATATTTCCTTACTTAAAAGTCAAGGAAACAATTTAATAGAATCAATGACAACAAGGTGCAGAGCTGGATGAACACAGCAGGCCAAGCAGCATCATAGGAGAATCAATGCTTTTGACCAGATTGGGTTTTATTAAGATGCACTTTTTTCACTGCCTTCTTAAAATTCGTCCTGTGCAATGCATTCCTCAGATTGTTATTACAGGAAGTTAGTTGTTTGAAAATTAACGTCTGCTTCCATACTATTGATTTATAGAACTTTATTTAAATAATGTGGTTATTGAATCTTTAATATTTTGACATTTTCTTTCAGTTCAGTGATTCAGATTAATGCTAGTACATTTCAGATGGCCATGCAGTGAAAATAATTTCATGTGACATTCTTTTAAAAGACTTGATTTCTGTGCTGTTTGTCTTTCCTTGTAGGCTAGACGGTAGTGTGGAGTCAGCCAATGAGATTCTGGAGCCTTCACCACACGACCGGCCATTAGTGTCTCAGACTTACAGTTCACCTGCTGCCAAAGTTACTTATACCCCTTCATCGCCAACACGACATGGTAAAGAGCTGGTAGTACTCTTGAACAATCATATTTGGGCTTTTTTTTTTTAATGCATTTGCAGGGAAGCCAGTTAAATACATGGAGGGAGGGATAGAACAGGATGATGATAATGACATGTAGTAGTGTGGGAGCAGTTTGGCTAGCTGTCATTTTTCTGCACTACAAATTCTGAGTTGTTCTGAAGGCACTATTTAATTAAAAATATACAGGTTTCCTTTCTTAATCCTTGCAGCTTGTAATCAGAGTAGTAATTACGGTAACGGATGGAGCACAAGAGTGGAAACAGTAAGACTAATACATGCAGTCCCCAGTTGTGAATGGGTTCTGTTCTCGAGTTCATTAGGAAGTTGATTTGTACGCAAGTCTGAACACGATGCAGGACAGTATAAAATAACTCCTTCTAAGTACAAGGAAACATTCGTATGTTGGAACTTGAAAATTAATATCAATACGCTCCTGAATTTGATTGCATTCGTAATTACAAGTCTTCATAAATTGGATGTTCTGTATATCCAAGTATTGTGATATTTTAGTGACTGCGGAATCTTCCTTTATTTTATTGATTTATTTGTGTTAATTTTCAGTTGTTCTGAAGTATTAACTACAACCATGGTAATGGTCATCAATAATTGCTTTGACATTTCAGAGCATGTTATTGGTGACTAACATCTAGATAGCTGAAAGAAATTTCATTGATTTTGATTGTGAGATTTGATTGCAGCTGGGATGTATTAGACTATAATAAATGTTTTTGATTTCTAGGGATTTTTAAGTTCTTGGGTTTTTTTTATGTATTATACATTGCATTCATTTTGACCAGACTTAGAATCGTAGAATTTTACAGTACAGAAGGAAGCCATTTGATTGGTCATCTGTACTGGCTCCCAAAAGAGGGCGTCTGTTGCTATAAATCAGTAGTGGGTTCACTTATGCAAAGAACCACAGTTTAATCATGTGCTTATTAGAAAGGTTACAATCTTTAGTGCTGATTGTATGATATGAAATTCATGGTGAAATGTTTCAAATCCACAGGGATATCAGCATTGCAGAAAGTCTGATATTAACTAGGTTAAATTCTAGTTAGAGGATAACTAAGAACTTCTTTTGCCATTCCACAGGCATTTTTTTGGAAAGAATATTTTAAATAATTAACCCCGTCCCTTAACTAGATCATGCACTACACTGTCTTTCCTAAAATCTAACCAAATCATTTACCCTGCTGTTGAATGAATTTCTTCCTGTACCCTTGATGGTATATAGGGGATGAGTGTCCAAAATATTAGATTCATTTTCCAGGTTTGTATAAACTAGTGAGACACTGGTCAGGTGTCTGGAAGTTTCAAATTTCATAGATCATAGAATCCCTACAGTCTGGAAACAGGCCCTTCGGCCCAACAAGTCCACACCGCCCCTCGGAGCATCCCACCCAGACCTATCCCCCGTCTAATCTAGGCATCCCTGAACATTACAGGCAATTTAGCATGGCCAGTCTACCTAACCTGCACATCTTTGGACTGTGGGAGGAAACCCACGCAGACACGGGGAGAATGTGCAAACTCCACGCAGTCACCCGAGGGTGGAATCGAACCCGGGTCCCTGGCACTGTGAGGCAGCAGTTTTAACCACTGAGCCACCGTGCTGCTCCTTTGCAAGCATTGCTACTTTGTTGTAACAGTGGGCTTCTGGAGCACACTGAAATTCATCGGCTCCTTCATACTGCCTGATTCAGTATCTCTTCTTGCTGAATGTGTACTAGTTGATTAATATTATGCACTCGAATATAACAGAACTTTATAAAGCTCCGTGCTGTTAGCAGGGCTCTCGGCCTATTTGGAAAAAAAATTGCCTACTATTTGCCTCCTGATGTCAGTAGGCAGTAAATTGCTGATGGAGTGGGACTGAATAGGAAAATTTTTTAGAGTTATATGAGCCAAATGCTGGCAAATGGGATTAAGTTGGTTTAAGATATCTGGTCGGTATGGATGAATTGGACCGAAGGGTCTGTTTCCGTGCTTTATAACTCTGACTGTGATAAACTGAAATGACTTGAACTTGTACTTTTATATGATCTGTTCTGTGCAGCCTATCCAGAGGACCAAGGAGCAGTGGGTGGAGTTGAACCAGATGATGATTTGAACATTGGCACACTGAGATTAGATGAAGACAATGAGACTCCTCCCTTGATTCTTAAGAGCGAGTGACTTTTGACTTGTGAACTGGCACATGTTGACAGAGTGAACACTTGCAATTAACTGTATTGTGATGCTGCTACAGACTTTTATCGTTGCAGGACAGAAAGTGAAGAAAAGTATGAAAGGAAAATTTTAAATAAAATTGTAGCTGTAGCTTAATTCTTTAATATTGGGTAAGAAATATATTGTTTTTCCCTCGGTGGCTTTTAATTCCTGTAAAGATTTTTTTCTCCCTCTGGCCAAAACAAAATGTGCTGCCTGATGCAGCCTGGAGCCTGTTCGCTTTGCATGTATACATGTGCCAAGAGTTGAGAGTTTAGAAGCCACTATAATATTGCCAGTCTTGCTGTTTTCCCACTGAATTCATCTTTAGTTACATAATGCAAATGGAAAAAAAATTGCAGTACCTTGTTGTTCCTCCATCCTGGGCAATAGGTTTCCAAAGAGTTGTAAGGTAGCAACCCCACCCAATCCAGTTTCTTAAAAACGATAAAACATTCTTTCTGGCTTCCTGTATTTGGAATTTCATGGAAGTTTGTTTGTTGAGCTGCTGAAATCAGACTCTCGTGAAGTTCTGGTCCTTAGAATTTCAGTCTTGTGGGGCAAACTGATCATATTTACAAAAAAAAACTTGCTCCAAATAGGGATGGTTCATTGTGTGTGACACTAAAAATGAATCTTAACTTTATCCTAAGGGTTTAAATATTGACTGAATATTTGTAATTTGCTCTGAAAATAAAAGCTGGTATACCATGTTTGTTGAATTATGTGGTTACAACAGTTTTTCTTTTCTAGGGAAATAATATTTAGGGCCCTACTTCTTTCCTGCCTCTTGACCACCTTGCATTTCTGCTGGCATGTCTGTAATTGCTGTATGTCAGATGGGGTGGGGTTGCTACTTTGTGCCTCAGATTGGAGAATGGTTTAGCAATCTGGTTTTGGAATTTTTTATTGTCCAAATGGACAAACTTCAGCAAGCCAGTATCCAGCCAGCACCGAAATCCACTTGTACCCTCTGGCAAAGTGTTTCAGAATTCTTGCAGTGTAGCAAATCCTACAATAATGGTTTTTCGTTCGTCAGCTGCAGCAATAAAGAAGCACATTTCAAGTGCTGGTTGTTAAAATGAGATCATTGGAAGGGACCATGGAATAGTTTTACTTTTTAGCTTTAAGTTAAAAATGTGAAGGTTTTGCTTATATTTAATTAAAGTTCAGTAGTTCAACATGATATGGAAAGTTAATTTTGCGCAAGTTGCCAAAGAGAGGTAATGGTTTGCTGGAATTTGGCCATTTCCACAACTAAATGATGCAGTAGAGACCAATTTTTTTTTTACATAGGTATGAAATGACTGGATTGAGTCCAAATTGCAATGTTCTACTTACAAACCCCCTAGTCATGATAGAGATAAATAACTCATTTATGGTTTGTTTAATCTGTGCCTAATGTTCCTCAGTGCACATCATGTTTGGGATTAGTATGACCAAAAGCTATTGAAAACCTGGGTATTAACACAAAATGCCCACTGATCATCTATCTTCTCGTATTCATAGATGCCTGTTGCTAATAAGCAATCAACCTTAAAGATTCTGCAGTGGTATTGAGGAAATTGGCTGCTACTTTGTTTAAACTCATCTGCAGCTTTTCAGGATATTATTAGCAAATTCCTTTAAGCTCCTATCTGTGACCATACTTAATAGAAGAATGCACCTGATATTCTTAACACTTATCCCATCTGCAATCCACTGTTATCCAGAGGGTCTCATTGTGCTGGTAGGTGCCTTGCATGCCCATTTTACAATATTGTAATCCAATATGTACAAGGATGTGATTGGTGATGCTAAAATATTTCACTGTTTAGATGTGTTGCTGAAATGTTGCAATTTTATTGAAGTTTGTTCAAAGATTGACAGAACAATGTGAAAAATGCTTTTCAATCATTAGTATTGCAGCAGAATTAATCCGTGCATTGCATTCTATTCCCCAGCAACTGAATATGGGATTTTTGAAGCTAACGTTTTTTGGAGGAGACTGTCTGGAAATATCCCAAAACTGCAACGATGCTTGTGTTCTTAAGTCTGTACCCACTAACTGTCATCAGCAACTTGGATTTCTAGTTGTTACGGTACACTATGATCAAACCTTGGATAGTAAAGGGAGGCCAATCTCAAATTACTTGATGCAGGGCAACAGGCCACATCCATTAGATTTTGTGCTCAGCTGTTCAGAGATAATATTTCTTGAGCAAACTAAGATTTCATATTAATGATATTGAAGGAATCCTTTAAAGCTAGGCTTCATCAACGAGTGAATAACTTAGCAGTTTGGACACCAGAATAAGCAATTTGATTGGACTGAATGAGATGCTTTCAGCTACGACTGTATCAAAGCACAGAGGTTGGCCTGTGGGAGTCAGAACTAGAGAAGGGAAACTTGAACCTGACTTTCCCACTCCTGATTGCTACCCAAAAAGCACTACTTTAATAAATGTGAGATGAGAATTGGGCTCAGCTCTGCAGTACCCTCTCTGGTTCAAAAGGACTGACAATCCACCAAAGTCCAGACTCTTGGGTAAAGAATAGCTGTTTGGATTCTATACCGGAACCTGTATTCTGAGTTTGGGACAAGTGTAGGGTGAGAGATGAACAAGCAAAAGTGTATTCTGTGAACTAACTAAATTCTACATTGAACAGAAATGTATTATATGTTTTAATCCAACTTTTGGTACTGACTTTTTCTATGTTTAGTGTAAACCGAAGTATTTTTGCTCTCTGAAAGTATGACCCCAGAATTATGGTATGCTTCTGACATGTCGTTCCAGATTAGTTCTGAAGTATATTGGTATCCCCAAAGCTTACATTTTATGTTTGCTGATGCAGTACTGTCCTTCTGATAGCAAGAGTATTTGTGGTGTAAACATTTGTTTAATAGGGTGAGGGTGTCATTATGTATTGAGTAGGTTTTTAACTATGTTGGGTTGTTGCCTATCTAGGAAATATAAATTGTGGAAGGGGATCTATCTCTCATGGGATATGTTCCTAATTTCCTTCTCATTTGACTCGAATAAAAAAATTACAGTTTTTTTTGCCAGTTTAAAAATGAATTTGGTAAAACTCTTGTAAATTGAATCATTTAGTTTGCAGCAGAGGTGAAAGACAATGAATTTGCACATTTTAGCACAGGTGGCTCTGTACTGAAGAAAGATTTCAAAAGAAAATTAAAAGCAATTAACTAGCCAAAAATGCTACTTTTTAATCCTGTCTTTTAAGATGCCTCAATACCTGATAATGGGATTGAATGTGGCAGGGTTGGGGGATGAAGTTAGGTGCTGGTGGCTGTTATGTTCCTCCTTTACCTTCACCCACTTCCCAAACAGCTTGCAGCTGTGAGATCCAACGTCCAACAGATTGACCTTGAAACTCCCTGCAACCTTGTGAAAAAATGCAACATGTACTTTGCTGTTTGAGGCTGAAGGTAGCTTCAAAGATCCTTTGATAGATTTCCTTTCTCTGGGGGTAGGTGCAGTACAATTGACCATGGTGTCCTGCAGTTAGGGAGAGGAAATATAGTCCAAGAAGGCACTTATTCCTGCTTATTATCTGTTCACTTCTACTCCGTATACGGAGAGGAAAAATAACCAAAAATATCTCAGTCCTTTACAAGCAAAAGAGTGAACATAAAGTGAGGACACTGTTAGATTTCACTGTAATCATCTCTTGATTACTTCTAAGCTTAAGAATATCAATAAAGAGTGGGTAATTGCTTATACTGCAAGCATACTGCTTTCTCCTGTTGGTGATGGAGAATAATAAAAACTCAAATATTGGGTTAGGCAATAAGGGTTAGTCAGTGAAATTCAGCTATTTACTCAAGAAAACATTTTCAATCCTGGTATTTTGGACCAGTCACCTATAAGTTGTGCTTGCTTCATAACCTGAGTAGTGAGTAGTGTTTTTTTTTGGTAAGTGTGTGCTGATAGAAATTTTCCTACCCCTGCTTTCAGATGTGTTTATTTTATAGGTTAAGTTGATATCCAAGTGCTTCCTTGAAAAATTTAAATAGTATCACTGGATTATAGTAAAGTAAGTCCTTGTTCCAGAATGAATCAATTTTATATAGTCTGTTCAAAACTGGAGTTGTGTTTTCCAATTGCTCTGTCAAAAATCGGTCTCTGTCTATTCTAGTGTTGAAATCTGGCTTGTTTGATTACCTAGTTGTTTTTAAATTATTTGGCCGTAAAGCATGTTCATGGCTCATCATCATCTAATGTACACACAGTATAACAACTCACGGAGTGATCCTCCTATAAAGAAGTTATTACAAATGAGTAATGCAAGGATTTCACTTTGATTTACAGTACATAATGTCAATTTGATCACTGTTAGTCTAAAATCATTTTGCTTCTGTATATTTTACCTGCAAGTAAAATGGACCATGCCTGTAAAAATAAAGTTACACAATCTATATAATGTGGACCTCTTGTGGTGCAGTGGTAGTGACCCTACCCCTGGACCAGGAGGGTCCAGGTTCAAGTCCCATCTGCCCTGGAGGTGTATAATATCATCTCTGAACAGGTTGATTAGCAAAATAGGACTGCAGCACATAAATCTTCTCAAGGAGAATTAGAGATGGGCAGTAAATGCTGCCTTTGCCAGCCCAAATTTCATGAACAAATGAAAAGATCTATAGAATGCCAGCACTTACGCTTTACACAAGCAACCTCATAACCCTATTTTCTTTGTCTCTTTTGCTTATCTCGCTTCCTGTTGTGGTAGATTTCACATTCTTCATTGATTTATTCATGACTATCTTTTGTTTATAGCCCCTAGCTTTGGTCTCCTCTTCAACTGGAAACATCATTGACTACCCTTGCATAATGTTAAAGCCACCTATTGGGTAAGCTTCAGATGGTGCTGTTCCTGATAATCAGTTCAGCATTCTTTGATTTGGTAGGAATGTGATTCACAATTTGTATTCTCCTGTGAGTAATAAATTGCAATTAGTTGTTAACCTTGTGCAAGTAAAACTATGTTGGATAAGAGTCATTACTTATAGGTCTCTGCTGGAGGAAAATATTGTCTGTTAATGAACAAGAGTGAAATGAGTCTCTATTGCAAAATTTGATGCCAGCTATATTCAACAAATATCAACTGCAGACCGAACAAGTCAATTTTTATTTAAAGAAGCAAACTTCAGGTAGCTCAGCATGCAGATTCAAAAAGGATAAGTAAATTTGAATTTGTTTCCCGAGTGGTAGATGGTAGCTGCACAGGATGAAGTTGAGGAATGTAGAATGGAAAGGCTGAAGGCTAATGAAGCCTTTTAATGCCAGCATGAACTTCATGAAAAGGACATAGTTTTGTTTGGAATTGGAAGAAATTGATTTCAGCCCATGCCTGTAATTAAATTTGTATGTAATTTTTATTGTAGAAACAGGTATGGTGAGTTTCTCATCTAGGAGATTGTTTGTTTATTTTAAACAATGTCAATTCAAAAGGAACTGTTAAAATTCTCAACATTAGCAGTCTCCATAGTATTCGCAATGTGTTACAGCTGAGTAAGCCCAAAGCTTAGAATGACAACTAAGCTGGAAATGTAAAAATAATCAGACTAGTGTTTTCTTTTCCTGAAGAATTAATGCCACTTGCACAGAACTAGGTCATTACTTACTGTAACCAGAAGTCAGGGATGCTGTTAGAAGGAAAAGTTCTACTTTTATAATAACAATACACATATGCCCGAGGTTGTGAACAGGTTCTGTTCTCAAGCCTATTTGCAAATCAGAACACAATATAGGACAATGTAAAATAGCTGCAAGCATGAGGCAACGCTCATGTCTGATGTAGGTCTAATACACACCTGTAGGTGATCACGTTTGTAAGTCATATCTGTACATTTGTCCCCCGGTAGAGGTGGACACAGTTGCAGAGCTAGAAGTGAATCTGTTCATACAGTAGCAAACATGGCTTATGAGTGTGTTTGACAGCACCACACATCAGGCTCTCTGAATTTCATTGTAAGTTTTCCAATCCATATATTGGACCCAGATCAAACTAAAAGTAGTCTTACCTTTGATGGAGTTTCCTGGCTGAACTTCTGGGCCAGGGTCTTCTCAGATGAAGTCATTTGATCAAGCCCACATACCAGTCCTTGTTCACAAGTGTTATTAATTTTGTCTTGGTTCATAAAGAATTTGAAATGTTTCAAAGAGGGATCTTAATACAGGATGTTTGGAGTGTAGTAATTTTGAAAATGTTTAATTGAGCAGATGTTCACATAGTGAGAACATCTCACAGGGTAACCACCGGTAGCAGATTTTAGTGTAAAGATGCTACAATTGTTCAGCATTTTCTTTTAAATTGACCTGTTAGTAAATCAATTATGAATGAGTGGCTAAAGTAGTGGCATGGAAATGTCAGATGATATTTATCTGAATTTCCAGAAATTAGTCAATAAAATCCCCCATAACAGACTTGGTTAAAGTTGAGGACATTAATCTGGTGAGGAAGTGAGTTGAGTGGAATGAGACAGATTAAGAACTTTGGGCAGGTATGTCAAATCCCACATGATGATGATTTGGATCTGCTGATCAAGTAAATGGGTTTTATTGTAGTTAAATGTGAAGTTATTCACTTAGGACTGATAAAAGGATACTTTTTGAATGGTGATAAGCTAGGACCAGTGGAGCTGCAAAGTGACTTGGGGGTTTAAGTACAAGTAATTTAAATACCATAAACAGGTACAGAAAATAATTTATAGTTGGGGATTAGATTACAAAGGTCTTAGTTATGCTGCAGCTATACAGAGCACATGATTAGACCACACATGAAGGACTGACCAGTTTTGAACGGTACATTTATGCCCTGCAACATGTAGTGTATTATAATGATATCAGAGCTTCAAAGACTAAGTAAAACTAGGGTTGTATTTCCTGGAATTTAGAAGCATGGTAGATGATTTGACCAAAGCTTGGAGTAAAATAGATTGGAAGAAATTTTCTCCTAATGAATTGTCAACATAAAGGGGATATAGTCTTAAAAATTAGTGACAAATTTCAAGACTGAAATTTAGAAACCCCCCACAAACAATAGGTGCTAGATATTAGCCAAAGATATTAAGGTAAGTAACAAATTAGTCATGTTGTCATGAGAAAGAAGAACTGGTTTGAGGCTAAATAGCCTTTGTTGTGCCAATGTTCCTGCAGTTTGGAGTTGAAGCACAAGATGGCAGCAATAGCTGTAGATCAGGGATTACAACAATTCAATTAGTCATCAGAAACGCGCATAAACTCCCCTACACCTGAAAACAACAATGAAACAATTTGGGTCGAGACCTGTTGGTAGATAAGAGCTGGAATACCTTAAGCTCTGACCAAAAGTGGAGTGGACAGGAGAACAATGTGTATGAAGTGAGGGAGCAACAGTTTCAATAGCCTGTAAATAATTTACAAAGATGGAGCATGCTAATGCAATCAGTAGAACACAATTTGATCTATCAGTCTGTGCCAGTTTGCTGAGCTATTTGATTAGTCCTGATCCCCATAATTTTTTCTTTTAACTTTCAAAAATAGAGTTAAATATAGTGTTCTGAAAGGGTAATGAAAAGAATTTCAATCACTGCTTGAAAAAAGTTCTTCTCTCCCCAGCCCCTGTCTTTTTGCCTATCACCTTCAGTGTACTTTGGTTACCTAGCCACCTATTTATCCTTATTGAAAACCTTCAGCGTAGTAAGTGATAATGAAATACAAAGGGTCTAAGTTGAAGAAATATGTAAAACAACTATGCAACTGCAACATAAGACCCCAAAACAACCCTCAGCACAGGTCAGATTAATAATGTTTTTGCCTGTCTTGTACCCACCGAGCATGCATCCTTTGTGATACTGACACAGCTTAAACATTCTCACTAGAGGTGAGTGCAGTATTTTACTTTTTGTCCACATTTAATGGAAGAATTGCTTATTCACAGGCTTTGTTTGTTCCCCAGTTGCAACCAGAAGAAAAACAAATGAGAACTAAAATGTGCTTGATTAGTTAATTTTATTATTGCAAGAATTTTGATAGATTTCATCTTATGACCAGCAAAGATAGCCTGAAACTAATTAAACAGCGCAGATTCTTGCTTTTTAGAAAATCTTAAGTTTAAACTGACAAACCCCTGAGGATACTAAATGGAACTTGCCCAAGGCACCATATGCAGCATTCAAAAGTAAAGCACAGAGTCTTTGCAAAGCAATTCACTGAATTTCAGACTCCTGTACCTTTAAGTGTACCAGGCATTGTTAGGTACATGGATTATAATAAAGGGCATCACTCAGTCAATGTCCTTTGCCTTATTTGAATTGGTTGAAAATATATTGCATTAAGCATAGGTATGTGAAAAAGAATGGCAGGGCAGTTTAAGGACTTGCAGATTTTAAGACATTGGTTCAATGATTCAGACAATCTTCAAATCTTTCAAGTCAGCTTCCAGCGTCTGTGGGGGGAAAGAAAAGAATCTTCAGATTTTAAGACAAGGAATCTGCAAATGCCCTTTTACCATGCTGTTTTGTAACGAGATGCCACACTCCAATTTTGGCTTCCATTAGCAGCAATGAGCAAACCCAGAATTGGTAAATTACAGGACGAAGTTTCAAACATTCTACTTCAAAAATGAGTAAAACCACCTTGGGGGAAAAAAAATCTTTCAATTTCCCAAACTGGCCCTCAACTTTATAGCTTGAGTTTTCCCAGTTTGTGCTAAACTGTAAGATGCTTTGAGCTGTGCAGCCCATAAAGCTGGTAGTGTCAGGAGATTTTTCTGTTCAGGAAGATGAAAGAGACTCTCAATTCACTACACCACCTGGTGGCCAGATGTTTGAACTCAGCACCATGGATTAATTTAAAAAGAAATTTGAGATGCTGCAACTGGACAATAGGAGGAAAGTGAATGAAACACATCAATATATTTTCAAAAAAAAAAAGTTTTCTATAGCAGAACTAGCAACAGATTGCACCTTTAATGTAGATTGTCAAAATTTGAAATGTTTGTTTGTTTATCTATTTCAGCATGGGGATGGGGCTTGTTTTCTCCACCCTACTTCTCTGATTGCTCTCGGTGGGAATACTGGTCCTATATCCTTTCTCACGAGAGTTGGGGGAAGGCACAATAAGTAATAGCTGGTCCCAAGTGCTGAGATCAGATCACAGACCAGGCCTCCTGTTTTATGAAGCTCAGTACCACACTTAAGTGTGTTGCTATATTGCAGCAGCGACTCTTATAGGTTGTATCCCAAATTTGATAAGTTGAGACATTTGGTGCAGGCGGTGGGAGAAGTGGAGAGGAATAGTCAGTGTAATTTTTACCTTAATATCCCAGATTGCCATTCCACCATCCATACCAGTGGTGCAAAACTTAGAACAGTTCTTCTTTCCACCCTCAACGATTGAAATTTGGCTGTAACAAAAAGGAAGAATTGAGGGAATCTAATCTATAAATACTGAAACCAGGCAGGAGCACTGTGAAGTTGCCTTGTAATTTTCTAGTCATGTGGCCCAGACATAGTGCTTTACATAAAGGCAGCAGAACAGCACATTGCATTTCAGCTGGGGAAAATGTTGAGTGCCTTCGAGTGACAGCATAACAGTGACTGACAAGACCTGAACTCAGACCTGATTTACTATAGAACAGAAATCGAGGAAGTCAGCTATTTAGAAACAACTTATGGGCTGTCAAGTTGAGAATCCTTGGTTTTCATTCTAACATAAGATTCTGTTCTGTAATACTCTGCAATTTTGAACCTTTAAACATCAATTGGTTTCTTTAGTGATAAACTTGCTCCTGTGAAACCTATTCAGTATGGCAAGGTATAAACTTAACAACGTCTTTGGAACTAATTCAGAGGCAGGCGTATAACATACTACATAGAGACACAGAACCTTAAAATGTCATATCAGTTGAGGATTCTGTCTCTGCTTGTTCACCGGGAAATGGTTTGTAGTAAAGGCAGAGCTCAGAGTCAAAACATCAGAAAACCAACAAAACAAGTGAATCAATGGAACGTACGACATTGCATAATAGACTGCCTGACTTGTTCTCAAGCCAGTCTCTCTGGGTGTGGACACTGAATTCATTACAAGAAAATAAATGTTTAAACTGCACTGCGTGGCAAAGAATTAGATTACAGGTGACTGCTTCCCTGCCTTTCACAATTCTCTCTCCAAGTCACTTGGTTTCACTGCCTCTCTGAAACCCTTTACTCCTAAGCTGCACAACTTTATTTCCTCGTTCTCACCTCAGTGTTCTGAACAGTTTTCCTTTTGTGAGGGATGCTATCATTCCTCCAGGAAAACTCATCAGATAATATCTGCTGTCTGATGAACTGTATGATTGACCTCAGCTACACTCTGAGGGATCAGTCCAGCAGTCAGAACTCCATACTGGAGGTGGAGGCATCAACACCCTGAACACACTTGGATGTTGCAAAGTTCCTTTGATTCTCACTGAGAGCACCTTCTCATAGGTCATGCTGCAACTGAACATTCCTCAGAAGCAGGTACAGGATGGACAGCCCATTCTGGCTTGTCCCATTCTTGTGAAAGCACTAATGGGCAAACCCAGGTCATTATTGTTTACAGACAACACTTAATATGGAGAAAGTGGTGATTAAGGGGAGCTGGGATAGTAAGGCTTCTTTCCAAGCCAGATGCTCAGGTTTTAAAATTTAGATGACTCAAGCTATTTACATCATTTAATTGTCTTCAAGTTTGAAGTGTTTCATTTAAGTCTCACACCAAGAGACCATTTTATGCTTGCTGTTCTCACCACCTGGGTCTAGGGCATTTTATTTTATCAAAATGGCAGGCAATGAGGAGGAGAGTTGTAAAGTTCATTATGGTACAATGAGCAGACATGTGAAGTGGTACTTATGAAAGACAGCTGTACTCTCCTTACCTGATGCTGTTCTTGTGTAGGGTCTCCAGGGTGGTGGTGGTGTTATCAGCTGATGCAGTTTTGTCCAGGTTCCTGAATTTTGCTAAAGCTGTCATTCCACGTTGCACATTCTGCTTGGGAACATCTAGCTTCTTGCCGATTGTCACTGTGTCTTTGGTGCTGTCATAAGTGAACAGCACTGGGTAGCAGTCATGACCCTAAGAAAAGGCGGCAGACTCAAAATGAATCTTCAGTTCCTAAGTTGCAATCTACTTACACCTAGGGAATGAATTTTACAGTCTCTTTGCCTGCCATCATCTTTTATTAATGTGCATTATGTAAGATAATACACCCAAGTGATTCAATGTAAAACTTGGAAAAGATTTATCTTTCTAATTGCTTTCTTACTAAAGGCATGAACTAATGCTGGGCTAAGGATATCCAGGCACAAGCAATCCTTCATGTGCAAATCTAGTCAGCAGGCTAACTTTCACAGGATATCAGCATGAGGTTGGCCTTACTTGCTAGCTGGCAGCATCTGAAATGAGCAATTTGATAGATATACCTCTCTTTGCTTGGGCGCTAGGCCAATTCAATGTTCGACATACTACTATGGTTTGCTCAGCCTGAGCAGTATCCTTTATTTGATATGAGCACAGTAGACATGTACTGACTCAGCCATATTAGTTCCTGGGATGACCAAATATAACTTGCCTCCTTCAGCAGCAACACTTTGCAAAGCATAAGCCTGGTACAGCAAAACTTCACATCCAATTCCCTTCAAAAATTAGAACTTAACGTGCTCCTTTTAGGGCTTTTTTGATCGTCACCTGTCACTCTTGTACTCACTAAGCACAAGTGATAGGACCAGAGGCTGGCCATTCAGCTCATCAAATCTGCTTCATGAGATATTGTTAGAGTTATTGATAATCCTCAATTCTACTTTACTGCCTTTTCCCCATAACCCTTGATTTCCTTACTGATTAAAAATCCGTCTATCTCAGCCTTATATATTTAATAACCCAGCCTCTCAAACAATTGCATAGATTCACTACCTTCATAAAGAAGAAATTCCTCATTTCTGTCTGAAACTATTACCTGCATCCCAGTTAAGAAGCACCTTAAATTTCAAATTCGCTACCTCACTCTGTGCATGGGCTCGTATCTTTGAGGGCACAATTTAATGTCGTGTGGGGGAAGGAGAGGAGAAGCGGGGTAAGCCAAACACCTGAGTGTCATCTCTTTGGGAAAGCTGCATTAAGTTAGCAGCAACAGTGAATGCTGGGATAAAGGATTCTGAGTCAGTCCCATACTAACAGCCTGCTAGACCACGGAAATTTTCTTTTTCAAAGCACTTTATAACCTACCTCTTTGACCAAACCTTAGATCTTCTGCAACTTTTAATATTTGATAATGCTCCTGTGGAGTGCCTTGGGATATTTTGTCACGTTTCAGAAATTTATTGATCTATGTCATTGTTGTTGGCTCTTCTGACAATTATCTTAAATCTGTGTCCTCTGATTACTGACCCTTCTCCAGTGGAGACAGTATCTCTTTATATACTCAAACACTTCATAATTTTCAGCACTTCCATTAAATGACCTGACCCTAGAATTCCTTGTCCCAAGCTTTTCCAATTACTTTACATCCAGGTACCATACCACTAAAATCAGTTTCAGCTCCATCTCCTCCAGAGTTCTGATATCCCTCTTCAGTTCTTTCACATACTTGTTTTCGAAGAATCATAGAATTGTTATGTTGCAGTGGGAGGCTATTTGGCTCATCTTGCCCACACTGACTAAGCATTTTAATTGAGCACCAATCTTATTCCTGCTTTTTCCTCATAACCCTGTGCATTGGGTGATTGATTATTTAAATAATGTCCTCTCGAATGCCTCATTGAACCTGCTTCCACTACCACTTCCAGGCAGTGCATTCCAGACTCTCAACTACTCACTTGTTCTCATCTTGTATTTTTGTGTTTTATTGTAAAACTCTTAAACAGTGACCTCTGGTACTTGAACAGTTTCTCCTCTGTCCAGACCCCACATGATTTTTGACAAATTTTATCAGTCTCTTAACAAACTCTCAAAGGAAATCAGTTCCACTTCTTCATCAATCCTCAGAAATGAAAGTGTCATCCCTGGAAACATTCTTGTAACGTCTTCTGCACTCTCTCCTGTGCTTTCACATCCTCCCTATAGTGTGGTACCTAGAATTGTCCACAGTACTCCAGCTGGGGACTGACCAGTATCTAACATAAATTTATCATCTCCCTGCTCTTGTATTCTATGTACCTATTTACGAAGCCGAGAATACAGTGCTTTATTAATAGCTCTCTCTAGCTATCCTGCTACTTTAATGATTTATGCATTTATACATCGAGGTTTCTCTAATCCTGAGCACCCTTTAGAATAATGACCTTTATTTTAACGATGTGTCTATGTTGTTCATTCCAAAATGTATCAACCTCATACTTCTCTGCACTCTGTTAATTTGCCACCTATCCAGCCAATGTGTCAGTGTCCTTTTGAGGTTTAACACTTTGCCCTTCAGTGGTACAGTCTGCAAACTTTGAGATTATCACTGCACACCAGGATCCAGATCATTAATGTAAATAGGAAAAGCTTCAGTCCCAATACCAACACCTGGGGAACTCCAATACAAATCTTCCTCCACTCTGAAAAGTACCTATTGACTATTACTCTGGTTGCTAGCCATCAACTAAGTACATATTTTTCAATGTTTGAGAAGAAATTCCCTCTAAGCAGCTTGGTCCCTTGTGGACACAGCGACACTTAGATACCAGATCCTGTTTGTAGAAATCCACTGGTGTCTGGCAAAGTGACTTACCGCTGCCACTAAACTGCTCTCGGTGATAAATGTAACAGTCAGGAGAGGTAGAGATGCAGTGTCAAGGGTAGCAATCCTGTAAGCAAGAGAAAATAACTCGGGTCAGTAGCAAAACGAACAAAGAACAGATAACATATCCCAGGAACTTGTTGATGCTAAGTCTCGGAAGTATTACAGTACAGAACGAGGCCATTAGGCTCTGAGACACTGTTGCACCTGGCCTTAGCTGCATAATCTAGGCACATCTCTGAACATAACCCAACTGTATCCTTCCCCAACACATTAACATTCCAGAGGCAAGACAATTTGAGGCCTAGTGTAGATCTCTGCAAACAGCAGAAAGTTGGGTTGTGGACTTGTCTGTACTGCTTAGTTGCACAAATAACGAGATAACAAATGTTAAATATGGTCACAGTCATTTAAGAGCAGCAACATGCTATCACTAACCCTGTGCTTTAGTCATCAATAGGAATGAAAGGAACACAGAAGTTAGATTCATGAGCACCTGGTTTCAGGATGAAAGGTTATATCATAGCTGGATGAGGAGACCAGTGGGTTGCCTGAAATCTGGGTCAGCTTTCCCATAGCATAGAAAGGATATTTGGGCCAGCAGCCTTATTGATGTGGATGTTAAGCAGAGTGCAAGACACCTGGAGGGGAAGCGCTGACAGACAGCAGTATTGTTGTGGAGAGGGGAGAAAGGATCCTGCTTTCATTTCCACAAATTAAATTTCAATCAAACGTGACTGGGGCAGCCATCCCTCAGATGCACTCATTGTCAATAAAGTACAACAAAAGCAGCCTTGGCCTACCTGACTTTGAGGGACGTCAGCTTCCTGAAGAGCCCTTAAATGAGTTAAAGAGGCAAGAATCTGATTGCCTTCTTCACCGACTGGCCAATGACGCCTGAGCAATTATCCAACTAAATTGCAGACCTCCTTGGGTCACAGAAGGTTAGTCCCCAAAATTGGTCGTATATCAGCATTGGGTCAGTAACATAGACACAATGAAGTCTATTTTCTACCCCATCATTAACAGGTATTATGTTACTGGGAATACGTGCATTAGCCTGATTGAATGAGAGAATGGTGCAGAGGTCTCTCAACGTAAAAACGCGTACACTCTGGAACAGAGGTGTGTGTTGCCACAAAACCTGCTCAGAGCAGTACTGTGAATACCTTTGTCCAATAACCAGGTGACCACTATCGATGCAAAGTGTAAGAGGGGCTCCACACCGGTAGCAGTTTGATGTTAAACACGACTACTGTTCTGTCTGACATTTCTTAAAAAAAAAGTACGTTTTACCCACAAAATACCACATTATGAAAACCTATTGTGTTTGGACCATTTTTGCATTTAAAAATGTGTTCTCAAACTGTATTGAGTGTGGATTAAAATGGAGGCTTACGTTGACTTCTTGTTGGCGTCCGTGACACACACAGTGCTATCATGGCTGACCCAGACCAAGCGGTTCCCGCTATCAGAGAAACAGACTCCGTGAACCCAACCTCCAGTTCCACTGGACTCGAACAAAAGTTCTCCAAATGGCATCTTTGAACCCCACGGCGTGGGTGATGGTTTCTCCTCAACCTCCTTAATGTAGGCAGAGAAAACCCTGATGATGAGAACGTTTTAGTGTAGTTAGAATGCTGGCAATGAAACTACATTCCTACAGCTAGCTACTGCCAAGCACTGTGACAAATCCAATAGTATCAGAATCACAGAAGTCAGACAACACCAGGTTATACTCCAATAGGTTTATTTGAAATGAAAAGCTTTCCGAGCAGGTGAGGTGAGAGAGAAGCACACAGATACAGAATTTATTGGCAGAGAAATCAAAAAGAACGTACAAGTGGTGTGAGCGGAGTGTCGAAAAATAAATCCCTGTAGGTGATCCAAAGTGTTAAGATGGTGTGAGTAAAATGTCAACAGCGGTTAACAAGCAAAGGGATGACCTATAATCCGATTTAAACGAGGCAGAGAGATAATTACAAAAAATTAAAAATAAGGTGGTGCTGGAGACAAACCGAGTGACTAGAATAACGTCCAACTAAAGTCATAAATAATCCAAAAGTGTACAAACTAAGGTAGATCATAACAATTTATCCAGGTGATGGTGACAAAACAGGAGAGTGAGGACGATTTTACAGATACAGAAGTGTGGTGGGGTCACATGTAGCACAACATGAACCCAAGATCACTTTTAAGGCTGTCTTCACGTGTATGGAACTTGGCTATCAGTTTCTGCTCGGCAATTCTGTGTTGTCGTGCATCTCGAAGGCTGCCTTGGAGGATGCTTACCTGAAGATTGGAGGTTAAATGTCCTTGACCACTGAAGTTTTACCTGACTTGGGGGGGTGGGGACCATTCTTGTCTGGTGATTGTTGCACAGTGTCCAATCATCCATTGTCATAGTGCCTATATGGTCTTGTCAATATACCACACCTTGGGGCATCCTTGCCAGCAGCGCATGAGATAAGCAACACTGGCAGAGTCACATTGCCGTGTATGTGGTGGGTGGTGTTCCCGCGTGTGATGGTAGCATCCATGTCGATGATCTGACACGTCTTGCAGAGGTTGCCATGGCAGGGTTGTGCGGTGTTGTGTTGAAGGCTGGGTAGTTTGCTGTGAATGATGGTCCGTTTAAGGTTTGGCGGTTGTTTGAAGGCAAGTGGTGGTGTGGGGATGATCTTGGCAAGATGCTCATCATCATCAATGACATGTTGAAGGCTACGAAGAATATGACGTAGTCTCCCCACTCTGGGGAAGTACTGGACAATGAAGGATACTCTATTGGTCATATCCTGTGTCTGTCTTCCGAGGAGGTCATTGCAGATTTTCACTGTAGCACATCGGAACTGGCGATCAATGAGTTTTTGTTTTTATGAGGATGCACTTTAAAATCTTTAGGTGTCTGCCACGTCCCTCCTCATCTGAGCAGATCCTGTATATGTCAGGGCTTGCCCGTATGGGTTGGCTTCTTTAACATGTTTCGGGTGGAAGATAGAGAAGTGCAGCATCATGAGGTTATCCATGGCCTTACGGTAGAGTGAGGTACTGAGGTGCCTGTACTGGATGGAGATGGCTGTGTCCAAGAATTAGACCAAGTCTGATGGTGGAATGAAACTTGCTGATATCACTATGTAGTCGTTTCAGTGATTCCTTGCCAGGGGTCCAAAAGGAAGAAAATGTCAATATATCTGGTGTATAGCGTTGGTTGGAGGTCCTATGCAGCAAAGAAGTCTTGCTCGAACCTGTGCATGCAAATGTTGGCATATTGGGGTGCAAATTTGGTCCCCATGGCTGCGCCATGTATTTGGATGAAGAACTGGTTGTTGAAGGTGAAGATGTTGTAGTCGAGGATGAAGTGGATGAGTGTAGGATGGAGCCTGGAAATTGGCAGTTGTTGGTATTGAGTACTGAGGCTGTTGCAGCGATGCCTTTGTCATGGGGTATGCTGGTGTAGAGTGCCAAAACGTCCATTGTGACAAGGAATGTCGTGGTTCAACTGGTCCATGGGTGCTAAGTTTCTAAGAAATCTGTAGTGTCGTGACAGAAGCTGTATGTTCCTTGTGCAGTGGGTTTCAAGATGCCCTTGACATAGCCAGAGATGTTCTCACACAGGGTCCCATTGCCTGATATGATGGGATGTCCAGGTGTGTTGACTTTGTGTATCTTAGGAAGGCATTAAAAGTCTCCTATGCGAGAACTATGCGGGAAGAGAGTGCATAGGATACTCTGAAGGTCTGGATCAAAAGTCTTCATCAGTCTGTTCAGTTAGTGGGTGTGTTCTTTGCTCAGATCGGCAGAGTTATCTGTAGTGCTCCTGGTTGATCAGTTGTCAATTTGCTTCTTTGCAGTAGTGCGTTCTATTCTGTATGACAATCTCATCAAAACAGCAGACAAAAGAGGAGCCAGTGTTGTGATTGGTCCTGAGAGTGTTCCCAGTTGGGGAACACTTCAGTGGTCAATGACATTCAGCCTATCTTCGGGTAAGCTTTCTCCAAGGCAGCCTTCAAGATGCACAACAACGCAGAATCACTGAGCAGAAACTGATAGCCAAGTTCCGTACCCATGAAGACAGCCTCAACCATGATCTTTGTTCATGTCGTGTTAAGTGTGACCCCACCACACCATTCTGTATCTGTAGAATTGTCCTTACTCTCCTGTTTTGTCAGCATCACCTGGATAAATTGTTATGATCTCTCTACCTTAGTTTGTACAGTTTTGGATTACTTATGACTTTGGCTAGACCCTCGGCATGCGACTGTTATATGTTATTCCAGTCATTTGGTTTGTCTCCAGCACCACCTTATTTTTAATTTTTTGTAATTATCTCTGCCTCATTTAATCGGATTATAGGTCATCCTGTACTTGTTATATAGCTGTTGACATTTTACTCACACTGTCTAACACTTTGGATCACCTACAGGGATTTATTTTTTGACACTCCGCTCACACCATTTGTATGGTCTTTTGATCTCTCTGTCCATAAATTTTGTCTGTGTGCTTCTCTCTCACTTCACCTGTTAACGAGGCTACGCTCCAAAAGCTTTTTATTTCAAATAAACTCTTGGACTATAACCTGGTGTTGTGTAACTTCTGACTTAGTCCACCCTAATCCAACACTGGCACCTCCAAATCATAGAAGTGATATGGCACAGAAGGCGATAGTCAGAACTGCTGAAGTTGGAGTCAGAGATGACATTGTGTGGAGCTGAAGGAACACACAGCAGGCCAGGCAGCTTCAGAGGAGCAGGAAAGTTGATGTTTCCGGTTGGGACCTTTCTTCAGACCCAAAACGTCAACTTTCCTACTCCTATGATGCTGCCTGGCCTGCTGTGTTCCTCCAGCTCCATACTGTTATCTATGGCACAGGAGGCCATTTCGCCCATACTGCCTACACTGTTTCTTTTACGTAGCACCAATCTTCTGCCTTTTCCCTATATCCCTACACGCTATTTCTATCATTAATAATCAAATGCCCCTCTTGAATGCCTCAATTGAACCTGCCTTCATCTCATTTCCAAGCAGTGCCTTCCAGACCCTAACTACTCACAATGCAAAAGAGTTTTTTCACATATTACTCTTGCGTCATTTGCACTCTGGCTCAGCTTTAAGGATTTGCATTGCTTGATACGAGACTCAATGCGATATTTCAAGTTGTTCATCTTAAATCCACAGACAGTAATGAAACTAGGTTGAGAACAGGAAAGCTTCACTGCTATTGTTTTTACCTCCCTGAATTCATGGCATGTGATCTGTGAGGCAATGGTGAGGGCCTTTTTTGTGGAGCTTCACACATCCAAGATTGACCCTGACATTTGGTAATGGGCTTCAAACCAGGAGCAGGTAGCAGAGGCTGATTTTCTTTACCCCAGCATCCTGCTCCAAACAACTGAAACCTATTTTGGCAGCTTTAAAGGTGCCTCAGATGAAATCAGATTAAATCATTGGTGTAATATCGGGGTCAGTGTGACATTGCACATAATGTAAAATAATTCTCCTGAGAGTGGAGATGTAGATTTCAATGCACACACTCATTACTCCACACACTGTAAACTATTTTTAATTTGTTCATTATGGAATGTTGGAATCACTGGCAAGGCCAGCATTTGTTGCTGATCCCTATATTTTTCTTAAACTGAATGGCTTGCCTCGCTATTTCCGAGGGCAGTTAAGAGTCAACCACGTTGGCCAGACTGTGTTAAGGACAGTTGATTTGCTTTCGTGATGGACATAAAGGAATCAATTGGGTTTTTACAAAAATCGAAGACAATTCCATGGTCACACTCATTAGTCTGGACCTCTGGATCATTAATCCAGTGACGTGACATGACTACCTTCCCTGAGAAATCCTGAATGCAGGAGATCAGAAGGAGAGTGAAAAAACATGTGAATAGACAGGAAAGACAGTAGGCGTGGTAAGAACTGGTGATCAAGAGCAATGTCAATTCCTATGTTTTGTTTTTACTCCTTATTATCCTATGTGTAAAAACAATTTGCTTCTCCTTTTTAATTTCCTGGCTTTCAACAATTTACAACAGTATTATTCCCTTAACATAAGCATGCCTGAGTTGTCACCTGATTTACATTTCCTAATTGCTTCATGTCCCAACAACCACATATGTCACATTTCTAGTATAATATAAATTGTATACTCCAATGTAGAATACACACAGAAGAGACAGAGATATTTAAGTGTAGCACATGCAGTATTATGCAAAGGGTGGATGGTGCTGTCGTGGTAATTAGTCACTGGATTAATAATACAGACTCGGACCATTACTCTGGAGAAGTGAATTCCTAAGAATCAGTGAATTTCAATTATAAAATCAAACAAGTTGTGCAGACTGAACGTTGATTTTTCAAATCTTGCCAAGTACATTTGAAATGATGAAAGCATCAAGTCTTGAGCACATTACCTGCATTTGAAGTCAGAGGATCCAGCAGCCAATAGAACGTTATTGGGATGCCAATCCAGACTCAGTACAGTGGAACGAATGGGTTTCTTGATATGTTTGCAAACCCACCTGTAAAATGTAAGTGTACAAGTTTAAATCCTGATGTGATGTGGAACACAGAGAATCCAGGTTTTCTTTCAGTGTGTTCCATTCATTCTTTCTTGGTATACACATTCTCCTTAATCCAGGGTTCTGTCTAACAGCAAGCAATGCAAGATTTCTGTAAGTGTTTTCTTCTGTCCTGGCCGACAGTTGCTGGTGCTAGGAAAGGGAACACTTCCCTTATCAGACACTAAGTACCAAAGTCAGGATTGATCACTAAAATAATACAAAGAACTGTGGACGCTGGAGATCTGAAACATACAAAAATAGAAACTGCTGCAGAAACCCAGCAGGTCCGGCAGCATCTGTGGAGAGAGTCACTGGATTTGAAACGTTAAACTCTCTCCACAGATGCTGTCAGACCTGCTGGGTTTCTCCAGCAATTTCTGTTTTTGTGTATGTCAGGCTTGAACACGGCATCATCTGTTCTGCGAATTCAAGGTCATCTAGTCCCAAACTCAAAAGTGCCCTTTCTTCTGAAAGAATGTGACGTTTGATATTTTCCCTTATTTTCCCAAAGAGGAACTTTTGGAGCTACTCCAAGTTTGTGTTAATTAAAACCAAGGACTTTGCCCCCAGAAACTCAGTTCAGCCTGGCCAAAATCCTCTGCTGCAGGACCATTGGGGATGGGAGGATTTTGATTTAGGCTGCAATGTAACACTATAAGAACCAAATGCCACCCCAGCTCTCCCAGATGCAAATGTGCCCATTATTTCCCCTCAAAGAATCTCCAATGTCCATGCCTGAGAAATGAGCAGACTGTACTGAGAGGGCAACAGCAGCCATTGGCTGTTTGGTATTCTTGCCTTTATTGGTCAGTTCATTGAGTTGGAAGGTCACATTGCGACTGTACAGGACATTGGTTAGGCCACTTTTGGAACACTGCGTTCAATTCCGGTCTGCTTGGTATAGGAAGGATGTTGTGAAACTTGAAAGGGTTCAGAAAAGATTTACAAGGATGTTGGCAGGGTTGGAGGGTTTGAGCTATAGGGAGAGGCTGAATAGGCTGGGGCTACTCTCCCTGAAGCATTGGAGGTTGAGGGGTGACCTTATAGAGGTTTATAAAATCATGAGGGGCATGGACTTTTCCCCAGGGTAGGTGAGTCCAGGACTAGAGGGTATAAGTTTAAGGTGAGAGGGGAAAGATTTAAAAAGGAAGGTAGTGCATGTATGGAATCAGTTGCCAGAGGAAGTGATGGAGGCTGGTACAATCACAATATTTAAAAGGCATCTGGATGGGTATATGAATAGGAAGGGTTTAGAGGGATAGGGTTCAAATGGTGGCAAATGGATATGTGGTCGGCATGGACAAATTGGGCTGAAGGGTTCCGTGCTGAACAACTCTATGACCTATCAGCGTTGCTGGTTTATTGACCATTGTGTACCTGCTCTTTTAGTTTTATTTCATATTCTAGTCACTGCAAACTCACCAATCATTGTCCTGCTCAAAATAGCAGACAGAAATCACTCGTGACCCGCTGCCCACTGCAAACTTGTTCTCCTTTGGTGACCACTTCACACATCGTGCAGCACGGTTGATTCTTAAAATGACAAGAGTAGGCTTCCAAACATTTCCCTTCAGGGTCCAGACATAGGCATTACGGTCAGTGCCACAGGTCACGATTCGATTGCTCTCTGGAGCCCAGCCAATCCCTAATTCAAAAACAACGTATTTGATTTGGATTGATCATAAGGTAGAAAGAAAGAATAGATCTCAAGAACATCTAAAAGTTCTTAATATACCTGCACCACAAGAAAAGTCATCAACCGAGATTAAAGCTGACCAAAGGCAGGGATGATTAGTGACCAGAAATGTAAGAGAATAACTAAACTCTGGGTGAAGAAATGTCTCCCCTGAATCCTGACTGTGACCCCTGGTTCTGGACACACCCACCATTGGGAACCTCCTCCCTGTATCTACCCTGTCTAGTCCTGTTAGAATTTTATAAGTCTCTATGAGATCCTTCCTCATTCGTCTGAACTGCAGCAAAACAATCCTAACCTAGTCAAGGACAGCAAGACCTACCGATGCTGGAGTCAGAGATAACACAGTGTGGAGCTGGAGGAGCACAGCAGGCCAGGCAGCATCAGAGGAGCAGGAAAGTTGACGTTTCAGGTCGGCACCCCTGAAGAAGGGTCCCAACGTGAAATGTCAGCTTTTCTGCTCCTCTGATGCTGCCTAACCTAGTCAATCTCTCCTTATACGTCAGTCCTGCCATCCCTGGAAATCAGCCTGGTAAATCTTCACTGTACTACCTCGAGGGCGAGGAAGGGAAAAGGTCTCCTCAGAAAAGGAGGCCAAAATTGCACACTATATTCTAAGTGTGGTCTCACCAAGGCCCTGTATAACTGCAACAACACATCCCTGCTCCTGTGTACTCTACACCTCGTAATGAAGGCCAACAATACCATATGCTTCCTTTACTGCCTGTTGCACCTGTACGCTTACCTTCAGCGCTGGTGCACAAAGACACCCAGGTTCTGCTGCACACTCCCCTCTTCCAATTTACAGCCATTCAGGTAGTAATCTGCCTTCTTGTTTTTGCTTCCAAAGTGAACAACCTCACATTTATCCAAATTATACTGCATCCGCCATTGATTTGCCCACTCACTGTCGAGATCATGCTGAAGGATCTCTGCATCGTCGTCACAATTCACCCTCCGACCCAACTTGGTATTGTCTGCAAACTTGGAGATGTTACATTTGGTTTCCTCATTCAAATCATTAATATATATTTGTGAATAGCTGAGGTCCCAGCACCGATCCCTGTTGCACCCCACAAGTTACTGCCAATTTGAAAGGGACCCATTAATTCCTATATGCTTTGTTTCCTCTCTGCCAGTTAGTTTTCTATCCATCTCAACATACTTGCCCCAATTCCACGTGCTTTAATCTTGCAAAATAATCTCTTATGCAGGACTTTTTCAAACGCTTTCAGAAAGTTCAAATACATCACATTGACTCGCTCCCCCTTGTCAACTTTACTAGTTACATCTTCATACAATTCCAACAGATTTGTTAAGCATGATTTCCCCTTCCTAAATCCATGCTGACTCTGTCTGATGCTGCCACTGCTTTCTAAATGCTCCGCTATAAAGTCCTTGATAGTGGATTCAAGAATTTTCCCCACTATCAATGTTAGGCTTACTGGTCTATTTTGTTTTGTCTCTACCTCCCTTTTTAAATATTGGAGTGACATTAGCTACCCTCTAATCTGCAGGGACTGTTCCAGAGTCTATAAGATCCTGGAAGATGACTACCAATGGATCCACTATTTCTATAGCCACTTCCTTAAGTACTTTGGGATGTAAATTATCAGGCCCTGGGGATTTATCCACCTTCAATCCCATCAATTTTCCCGGCACCATTTCTGCACTAATATTGATCTCCCTCAATTCTTCCCTCTCACTAAATCTTGCATTCTCCAAAATTTCTGGTATCTGATTTGTATCCTCTTTTGTGAAGACAGAGCCAAAGTGTGTATTCAGTTGCTCAGACTGGCTCAGTGGTTAGCACTGCTGCCTCACAACGCCGGGGCCTGGGTTTGATTCCATTCTCGGGTGACTGTCTGCATGGGTTTCCTCCGGGTGCTCCTGTTTCCTCCCACTGTCCAAAATGTGCAGACTAGGTGGATTGGCCATGCTAAATTGCCCATAGTGTTCAGGGATGTGCAGGCTAAGTGGGTTATGGGGGATGGATCTGGGTGGGATGCTCTGACAGTCGGTGTGGACCTGTTGGGCCGAAGGGCCTGTTTCCACACTGTAGGGAGTCTGAGTCTACGAGACATTTCCCCGTTTCTATCTGTAGGGGACCTACATTGGTCTTCACCAATCTCTTTTTCTTCACATACCTATAGAAATGCTTAGTGTCAGTCTTTATGTTCCCTGCAAGCTTACTTTCATACTGTAATTCCCTCCTTCTTAATCAATCCCTTGGTCCTTCTTTGCTGAATTCTAAACTGCTCCCAATCCTCAGACGTATTATTTTTCTTGGCCAATCTGTACGCTTCTTCCTTGGATCGGATACTGTCTCTAATTTCCTTTGTAAGCCATGGAACGGCCCTCTTACCCATTTTACTTTTGCGCCAGATAGGAATAAACAGTTGGTGCAGTTCCCCCATGCGTTCCTTGAATGTTTGCCATTGCTGAATCCTTTTAAGTAACTCTCCCCAATCTATCAAGGCCAACTCACGCCTCATATCTTCATAGTTTATTTTATTAAGATTTAGCACCCTAGTCTCCGAATCAAATATCTCACTCTTCATGTTGATAAAAAATTCTATCATGTTATGGTTGCTTATCCCCAAGGGGTCTTGCACAGCTAGATTGGCAATGATTCCCTTCTCATTACACAATATGCAGTCTAAGATGGCCTGCTCTCTAGTTGGTTCCTCCACATATTGGTCAAGAAAACCCATCTTGTGTACACTCCAGGAATTCCTTCTCTATGGCATTGTGGCTAATTCGATTTGCTCAATCAATGTGCAGACTAATATCATCCATAATCACTGATATTCCCTTATCACATGCATCTCTAATTTCCTGTTTAATGCCATTCCCAACATCACCACTGCAGTTTGGGGGTCTATATGACACCCACTAATGTTTTTTGCCCCTTGGTATTTCTCAACTCTACCCATACAGACTCCACATTGTCAGAGCTAATATCCATTCTCACTATTGTGTTAATTTTCTCTTTAACCAGCAATGCCACTCCACCACCTTTTCCTTTTTGTCTGTTCTTCCTAAATACAGAATACCCTGGTACATTCAGTTCCCATCCCTGGTCACCCTGCAGCCATGTCTCTGTAATTGCAATTATATCATACCCATTTACATCTATCTACGCAATTAGTTAATCCACTTTATTGCAAGTGCTCCACACATTAAGGCACAAAGCCTTTAAGCTCGTCTTTTTAATGTTGTTTGTCTCACTCTTATTTTTCTCAATAGCCCTGTTTGAATTTTGTCCTTAGTTTCTCAGCTTATCACTTCTCTTATTGCCTTCTCTACCTTTGGGTTTTGTCCTTGCTCCCTCCTTCTCTGACTCCTTACATTGGTTCCCACCCCCCCCGGCATATTAGTTTAAACTCTCCTCAACCACTCTAGCAAACACTCCCCCAGGACATCAGTCCCAATCCTGTCCAGGTGTAACCCGTCCAATTTTTACATGTCCCACCTGACCCAGAACCAGTCTCAATGCCCCAGGAATCTGAAACCCTCCCCTTAACACCATTTTTCAGCCACGTATTCATTCAATAAATATATGCAGTCATTTCTCCTCTGACTAGCACGTAGCACCGGTAGTAATCCTGAGATCACTACCTTTGAGATCCGATTTCTTAACTTTCTTCCTAGCTCCCTGTATTATGCTTTTAGGGGACCTCATCCCTTTTTTTTAAAACCTATGTCATTTGTACTGACTTATACCATGACCACTGGCTGTTCACCCTCCCCCTCCAGAATGTCCTGTACTTACTCCGAGACATCCTTGACCCTAGCACCTGGGAGGCAACATACCATCCTGGAGTCTTGTTTGCGGCCATAGAAACACCTGTTTATTCCCCTTACAGTTGAAGCCCCTATAACTATTGCCCAGGCACACTTTTTACTCCTCCCTTCCACAGGAGAACCAATCGTGGTGCAATAAGTTTGGCTGCTGCTGCTTTCTCCCGAGAGGTTATTCTCCGCAACAGTATCCAAAGTGGTGTATCTGTTTTGCAGGGGAATGGCCACAGGAAATTCCTGCACTACCTGCCTATCTTGCTTGTTTTGTCCGGTGGTCATCCATTCCCTTCCTGTCTGCAGAGTCTGAACCACTGCTATCCATGGGAACCTGAAATATTTTGGATGTGTTATACCGGTGTATGATCATACTAGAACATACCATGCGTATGATATATTGAACTATACTGTGCACCTTATACTGGCATAAGCTTCCTAAAATATATTCGAATATCTCCACCATATATGTTCTATATTGGTGTAAATGTGTAAATTACACATACATTCAGTCTGCAATGATTCAAAGCTACTGAAGGAAATTGTCACAATTGGAACTTGGAGTAGGTGTAACTGTTGGACAGAGTCCTCTATGGACACCAAATCATTAAATAAAAGATGTTTTTATTTGTATTAGTTTCTGCTAATTTTCCAAAATTACAACAATATCTAAAATTCAAAAGTATTTTGGCTTTGAAGAACCTCAAGGCACCATGTGATTGTGTAAGCCACTATGTAAACGCAACGTTCTTCCTTATTTGCAAAATCATTACAATAATTTATTTGGAAAATATTTTGAATCATTTCAGCTTCATGAAATCCAAAGTCTAGAAGATTAGTTGGCCTGTGATGAGGTTTCATCATGGATAAGACACTAAGCTGTAAGTCTGCCCTAATACAGGGAGCTTGTACGGTCACAGATGCCTTGCACAACTTGACATACGACAGAATGGTGTACAGTGGGTCTCACCTGTCACATGTCCACTGTGCTCCTTCAACTCGTGAATCCTGTTCCACTTGGACCCTTCTTTCTTGTAAATGTGAACCTCGTGGTTGTTGGGACAAATAGCAATTTCTGAGGAAGCAATTCAAAAATGTAAACCACGTGGCAAAGTCAAAATAACAGTTCAGGAACCATTTTCAAATAAATGTGAAAAACAGGAAGTTAAAGGTGAGAAGAAAATTGTTTTTGCATTAAGCGAAAGTTAGCAATGATAGGCAAAGGATTCACTGTACTGAGTTCAGGATGACATTAAATGCCTGGTGACGTGTTTCAAGGACATGAGAAGCTATTTGCTTCCTTAATCCAGGGCTTTCCAAAGTGAGGATCAGGATCCAAATGGGATCACAAACTGAAATTTTAGGGTCACATACTCCAAGGCACCAACGACTCAGCAACCAGAAAGCTCTGAGTTACATCAGTCTTAATCCTGCTCCAACAGGCAAGCTACCTAGACTCTCAAAGGTCTCCGAGGGGTCACATCAACCTTCCATCCTTGAAATGGGATCACAGGTTTGGGAAGCAATGGCTTTATGTACCATAATGGAGCTAGCTTATTGAGTGTCATATTTTTAATAGCAATGGGAATGAGGAATGGAAGGTGGTAGAAAGGCTGGTACGGCCGAAGGTTTCAGATATTACTTTGTTGATTTTACTGCATATATCTGGGCTGTGACTGTGAATAAACTGAACAATGAATGGTTTAAAAAAATCTCAAGTACACTGTGCAGCATTCAAGGGTGTGTGACAGTAAATTCTCTCCATTGATCACACCCTTTGGTTAGTTGAGTGCCTGGAGGTTTCATTGTGTGACCTCCCATCTCCAACTGCTTCATCTGCAATGTTTCACAGTTAACAAGTAAAACTGAAGACCCTCACACCTCACCAACAATTTCTCTCCAGGAAGCTTTTAAATCCCACCCCGTACTGCTTCTAACATTTTAACAATTTTCTGGGCTTAACTTACAATACCTAATAGAGTGCACACGTGCAAGGAAAATCTATTTACTGCCTATAAAAATCCTGGATAATAACAGCTGGTTAGCAGGATATTTTGCAGATGAACAACTGAAATCTTAGGACTCAGAGGAAAGGATTACATGTAACAACAAATGGTCATTTTCTGACATTACATGAACAGCTAAACAAACTACATGTTTCAAAGGTCTATGTTTGTTCAACATTATTAATGGATAACTAACTACTGAGGAAATCAAGCATTCTGTCATTTTTGGCTAAAAGAGGGATTCCATTAGCTAAGGGATGTGGATTTTTTGTGCTTCATTTCCTGTTGTTCAATCCACTGTGCCCAGCCCACACAGATAAGATTTCACATTCACCATTAACAGAAAACATCATGAACAAGCACAAAAACTGCTGTTGTCTAATATTTTAAATGCCAGGCCATGCAATTTAGGGGTAATTATTCCATTGGCACAGTGGTGATTTTCGGAGTTCTATCACATATGCCATTGGCGACAATTGGAGAGTATAATTTCACATGAAAGATGGCCTAACTGTGGTTAGCATCCATTGCCAAGGCTACTGAAGGAGCTAGGGGCACAGCAGGTGCTAAATAATGCAAGCTTGGCTTTTTGGGCAATAGCATCAGATTCATTTTGCACGCTTTATAAATCATCCTGAAACTGAAAATAAAACCAGTGACTGTAAAGAGGTGTTGTTCCTATGCTGAAGAGACAAGGTGCAGGTTCAAATCCTACAACCGCCTTCCCAAAAAGTTACTGCCCTCTGAAATGGCCCAGGAAGCCAATTGGTTCAAGGGCAATTAGGGATTGGCATCAAATGCTGGCCTTGCCAGCAACTGCCACATCATGAAATAATGATTTTAAAAAAAGATTCAGTGCTCATTTTACATGACATTGCTCTAGTCCCTATGCCTTGAGGTACTGATTACAGAATTTATGGTTTTGCCTCATCTTATCCAAGAGACAAACTCCTGATCCTCCTCCCTACCAGGTTTCACCTCTTATTCTGCTCCACTATCGCGCTTCTTCTCACTGGAGCTCCTTACCCAGATCCCCACCTTGCTGCTTCTTAGTTTTGAAAAACCCTCTAGAACGCATTTTATCTTTTTTTAATGCCTTCAAATTCTCCATTCCTCTGATCTCCTTTCCGTCTTGCTGCACTATTGCTCTAATATGACTTCCTCCAAGTCAAACTGCCCAATAAATGGAAGTTGTTTCTTCTTAGTTTGAATCTCAATGTTAGTACACTCACTGGAATGCTGAAGTTGCAGCCATAAAACACTGCACGTTGTACAAACTTGCTCAGACAAGAAGTCAGCATTTGTAACATGCATTCCCCAACATCTGCGAATGTTAACTTGGCCAAGGGCCAAGATGAAAGAATTGGAGTCCAAATACAGTAGTAATGAGCCAAGTTATGTCCTGAACCGACACTTCTCATTTATGAAAATGACTGAAGGGTATCTCCACCTTCAGTCCTAGTTTCCAATTTACGTGGGAAACATACAAGGTCTCAGAGGCAAGGCAGTGAAGTGTGAACCAAAAATTGGCCAATTGAGTCAAGAAGAAAACCATAAATTCTCAGCCTTGAACGAAGGGGATCTTAACGAGATAGACAGAATAGCAAAATAGATACAGCCAATTAAGAACACGCTCCTGGTTTCAATCCCATCACTAACTGGACAGAAGTGCATCAAATTGAAACTTCATTATGCAATCTGAATCAGGTAAAAAGTTGACCCGTTTATTTGTCTGATTTCTGTTGTCAGTAGTCAACTTGGACTTACGACCTGAATACTTCTGGTGGTTTGCAGTTGTTGACCAGGCCTGGAAGTATTTTTCCCCCTGCAGGGTTTCAGTACAAGTAAAGAGGTACAGATGCTTGACAATTATACACCAATCTTGCACCTTTTAATAACTGGCCAGTGTGTCACACTGAGTCAGTCATTGTACAACACAGCTGTAGAAAACTATAAAGCGAACAATGAGTTAGCTATAGGAAACAAAACTGGAAGTTATTATTATTTCCAAATAAGGGCAACTAACCTCAGTACTGAAACAGGAACTTGATTTTGACAAAAGATGAAAGCAATGCATGAGACTGTTTAGAGAAGTTTTATCACAAAGAAACGGAAGGTGGGTGGGACTGTATTTGAATGTCAGAATGCAGATTGCTTGTGATTATGGACCAGAACAGTTGCCAATGCCAAAGTGAATCTCAAAGCAGCGTGTTGGCAGAAATCAATATTAATTTCAGGTGACCTGCTATTTATGCTGGCAACTTAATACTGACTCATTTATTCAAATAAACGGCCTCAGGGATTTTTTTCCATTGCTGTTAATGCAGAGGAAACATGTTTTCAACTCAGAAGTTATTAAATATTTAGAATAATGTGTTAGGCAGGGTAGCAGAGATTAGAATTTTCTGTGTACAAGGAGAGTCCTGATGAGAAACACAGAAATTAGGAGTAGATGATTTTGAGCCTGCTGACCCTCTATCTCAAAGCCGTATTCCCACTTTCTCCCCATACCCCTGGATGCCTTTAAAATCTAGAAATTTTTCTCTCTTTTTCTCGAATCGAATTCAGTGACTTGGTGCTCACAGCCTTCTCCAGTCAAGAATTTCACAGGTTCAATATCCTTTGTGTGAAGAAATGTTTATTCATCTCAGTCCTAAAGGATTTACCTCATCTCCTGAGGCTGTAACCCCCGATTCTAGACTCCTGAACCAGGGAAAACATCCTCTCTGCATCCAGTCTGTCCAGTCCTGTTAGAATGTTATAGGTTCCAAGCAGATTGATTCTCATCCATCTAAATTTAGTGAATGCAGGCCCAGTTAAAGTAATCTCTCAAAACAGGACAGACTGTAATTCCTATATCAGCCTAGCAAACCTCCACTGCATTCCTTCTGTGGCAAGTATATCCTTTCTTAGAAAGGGAGACCAAACCTGCACACAGTTCTCCAGGTGTGGTCTCACCAGGAACCTGTATAACTGCATTAAAACATCTCTACTTCTGAACTCAAATACTCTTGCAGCAAAGGCCAAAATACTATTTGTCTCACCTGGATCCTGAGCCACACAGATGGCCAATGGTAACTTTCCTACCGCAAGCCAAGAGACAGGTCACCGGGCCCACTGTTCAATTTCTGACAAAGGGCTAGCATTACACACTGCCACCTCAGTGTGTGGCTAGCTCTGGAGTGTCAATAATGGCTCTGATAATCATCACCACTGAAGATGCACAAAGCGCAGGGGGGCACCTCCATTCCAGATGACCTCGGGAGGAACTTTAAAAACAACATTTGCTCCTGTACTGGGGCCACTCAGGCAGGTACTGCTGATCTGATATAAAAGCTCTCCAGCAGTGACATCTGTGGTTCTGTGAAACCCCCTCAGTGGCCCATGACATCACTGGGTGCAATAGTTTATCCAAGCACTGGAGTTACTCTATTTTGCCAGCAGCCTGGGAAAATGGCTGGTAACTTCCCTTGAATTATTCAGGGAGGCTGTAGATCCCACTGAGCAACTAAGTTGCTACCATGATTATTAACGAGTCTCTAGAGCAGGCTTGAAACCCATATATCTCAGACTTCGAGACAGGAGCACTACCAATTGAGCTTAAGGTTAGTTATCACTTTAGTGCACTGGTAATAAAACCAACTTCAATATTTAGCACCGGCTGTTTAACTTTCTAAGTGTCTAAGAAGATTCTGCACCAACTAAT